CATGAACGCCAAAGACAACTTAGAAGGTCAGTGGGAAAAGTCTGTGACTGTGGTGAGAGAGAGAAGCTAGGTCTCAGCCACAAGTCCGGAGCGTGGCCTGGGGCTACGGCTGCCTCCTGAGCTTCTGGCCCACAGACTGAGGGGAAATCGAGTGGCTGATCAGAGGGGGATTGCAGGGATCTTTTTGCCAGTGCTGAGACAGGAATCTCTTGCTTTACCAGTGCTTGGATCTGGGTCACAGTTCTGAGAGGCAGTCCTGGGGCGAGGTGGAGTGCCGGCATGGTGGAGCTTATTGTGGCGGTGGAGAGGAAACACCTCGCCCCTTATCATACCACCTTGAAAGAACTGAAAATTTACAGGTCCCTAGAAGTAGCTCTGAAAACAGCTGTACAAACCCCCGAAGCTTGGGACAGTACATTCTCCACATTGGAAGCAGACTCTTACCTTAAAAAAGAGTTTAAAACTCAAGTAATTGGCCAAGATCATGAGTAAGCAGCACAAAAAGAGTCAGCCTATATTATCTCACTTTGGTGACAAAGAAGATCAAAACATACAATCAGAAGAAAACAACAAAGTCAAAGCTCTTACATCCAAAGCCTCCAAGAAAAATATGAATCATTCCCAGGCCTTGGAAGAGCTCAAAAGGGATTTTGAGAAGCAAGTAAGAGAAGCAGAGGAAAAGCTGGGAAGAGAAATGAGAGTGATGCAAGAAAATCATGAAAAGCAAGTTAACAGCTTGCTAAAGGAGGCCCAAAAAAATACTGAAGAAAATAACACCTTAGAAAATAGCCTAACCCAAATGGCAAAAGAGGTCCAAAAAGCCAATGAAGAGAAGAATGCCCTAAATAGCAAAACTGGACAAATGGAAAAGGAAGTCCAAAAGATTACTGAAGAAATTACTTCCTTAAAAATTAGAATAGAGCAATTGGAAGCTAGTGACTTTATGAGACATCAAGACACTATAAAACAAATCCAAAAGAATGAAAAATTAGAAACCAATGTGAAATATCTCATTGGAAAAACAACTAACCTGGAAAATAGATCCAGGAAAGAGAATTTAAAAATTATTGGACTATCTGAAAGCCATGATCAAAAAAAGAGCCTAGACATCATCTTTCAAGAAATTATCAAGGAAAACTGCCCTGATATTTTAGAACCAGTGGGCAAAACAGAAATTGAAAGAATCCACCGATCTCCTCCCAAAAGAGATCCCCAAAGGAAAACTCCTAGGAATATTGTAGCCAAATTCCAGAGTTCCCAAGTCAAGGAGAAAATATTACAAGTGGCCAGAAAGAAACAATTCAAGTATTGTGGAAACACAATCAGGATAACACAAGGTTTAGCTGTTTCTACATTAAGGGACCGCAGGGCATGGAATATAATATTCCAGAGGTCAAAGGAGATAGGATTACAACCAAGAATCACCTACACAGCAAAACTGAGTATAATTCTTCAGGGGAAAAAATGGTCATTCAGTGAAATAGAGGACTTTCAAGGGAAAAGACCAGAGCTGAATAGAAAATTTGACTTTCCAATACAAGACTCAAGTGGAACATGAAGAGGTAAACAGGAAAGAGAAATCATAAGAGACTTATTAAGGTTGAACTGTTTACATTCCTGCATGGAAAGATATTTATAACTCATGAGACCTTTGTCAGTATTAAGGTAGTTGGAGGAAAAAAATTATATGTAGATAGATAGATAGACAGATAGATAGATAGATAGATAGATGGATAGATAGATAGATAGATAGATAGACAGATAGATAGAGGGCACAGGGTGAGTTGAAGATGAAGGGGTCATATCTGGAGAATACAATTAAGGGGTGAGAGAGGATTATACTAGGAGAAGGAAAAATGGCAAGGTAGAACGGGGTAAATTATGTCACAAAAAAAAAACAGAAAAGAAAAGGTTTTTACAGTGGAGGGGACACGGGGGAAGGTGAGAGGGAATGAGTGAATCTTATTCTCATAGGATTTGACTTAAGGAGGGAAAGACATACACACTCAATTGGGTATGGAAATCTGTCTTACCCTACAGGAAAATAGGAGGGGAAGGGGACAAGAGAGTAGGGGGATGATAGACAGGAGGGCAGATTGGGAAAGGGGGTAATCAGAAGCAAATACTTCTGAGGAGGGACAGGGTCAAAAGAAAGAATAGAATGGGGGGGCGGGATAGGATTAAGGGAAATAGAGTTAGTTTTTCACAGCATGTCTGCTATGGAAGTGTTTTGCATAACTGCACATGTATAGCCTATATTGAGTTGCTTGCCTTTTCAATGAAGGTGGGCGTGGAGGGAGGAAGGGAGAAAATTTGGAACCCAAAATTTTAAAAACACGTTTAAAAAAAAATGTTTTCACATGCAACTGGGAAATAATAAATACAGGAAATGGGGTACAGAAATCTATCCTGCCCTACAGGAAAATAGAAGGAGAAGGGGGTAGAGATAGCAGGGAAAGCAGACTAGGGGAAGGGGTATTCATAATGCATGCCATCTTGGGGTAGGGGGAGGGGCAAGATGGGGTGAAAATTTGGAACTCAAAATCTTATGGAAGTAAATGTCGAAAACTAAAAACAAATTTATTAATTTTAAAAAAAGAAAAAACCCAATGTAAATGAGAAGAACAAAACACTAAAACTGAATGCTAATGTTGTATAATCATGATGATCAAATTTGGCCACAGGTTACTTCCTGCCATCCCCTCTCTGCTGTGGGGGGAGATTATGGAAGGAGAATACAATATATATTGTTAGCTTTTATATATATGCCTGTTGTGCAGAAGTATTTTTTTTTAATTCTTTGCCATAAACAGCAGGGCTGATTAAGGAATCCTTGATCAACCCTAATTGCGCTCACATAATGAAAGTACTGAATGAGCAGGCAACAAAGACTTAATGAAATGTTTCAAACTTGGTTGTACTGACACCTTGAGTAAAAGGGTGTAAAGGGTGTAAAGCGTGAAACTTTGAGTAGTTCACACTCTGAGCTGCTCATTCACAGATTTTAAGGGGTTAGAAATAGAGAGTCAATTCACAACTTGTAAAGGAAGTATATAAAGAAACCAAAACTTTATACTTCATTACTCCTTTAAGAGGTATGAATTTCCTCTGTCAACTAGATCAACACCACCTCTAATTGTCTTTAAAAAGCAAATGAGCCAGCTCTGCAGACATACCCACAAAGGGAATTAGTTATCCCTGATAGCTGAGAAATCGCTTATATTTTCCTTTATGCCTCGTGGGAGGGGAAAGGGATAGGTTGAGGGAGGAAGGAAGGGGAACCTGGGAAGGAGAGAATTCCCCTCCCTCCCCAATCTCATCAACCATGGCATCTTTCAGTGGGGACCAATAGGAGATGTTGCTCCTAAGACAGACTCAAGTCCAGGAGGTGCACCTGTGGAATACAGTGGGAAGCCCAGGGAAACAAATGGAGTAATGTCTCCAGCAGGAAGCAGCTAGGACATGCCAAGAAAACATTTGTGGTTCTAGAGTACTAGGGGTTGTGAGTCACCCTGGCCACCTGGATTCCATCTGTGTACCTCTCTAATGTATGAACTCACTCTTACCACTGACACTGTACATTTGTGGAACAGTGCACTGTGGGTTTATGGGAGGAATGCTTTGTAGCTACTGCTTTTTACTATGCTGTTTTGATAAACACCTTGCTTTAAAAAGCTAATTTTATTGTCTGGCTGACTATTAAAGGTAAGCCCACTGCTGGGGGCTTGTGAATTATATAGTTTTAGAAGTGTAGACCCAGAGAGTACCTCAAAACCTAGGGTAGTTATTCCCCAAGGGAATCTGAGTACTGAGGGAAGTGGGGCAGTCCAGGGAAGGCACTCTAGTTATAAGGGTTGGGTTGCAGAGGAAAGAAGGATATATTGAAAAATGAAGGTGATATAAGAACAAAAGACATCAACAAAAGAGAAAAAAATATTAGCTTGAACTACATGTCCTGATCCAGGGAAGTATAGTCTCATTAATACTCAAATTACATATGGAATATGTGTTCTATCAGTAGTACCACATCTTAGAGAAGAACTAACAAACTACATTGTGTCCAAAGAAGAGTAACTAGTGTCATGAATGATATGGAAACCATGCTACACAAATAATGAAAGAAGAAACTGTGGTGTTTAGAGAAGGGAAGACTTAAAAGATGCATGGTAGGTGTCTTCAAATATTTAAAAACCTACAGAGGGCAACAGGTTCATGATGCCGTACAGTAAGGTAGATATTTAGCTCAATGTAACAATTCAATGTAATTATTCTAATATTTTGTGTGATACAATAACGAAACTCTTACGAAGGGAGGAACTAGTCTAGTCATCACTGAAAATGTTTAGGGAGAAAATGGAAGACCATGTCAGAGCTGTAGAAAGGATTTCTGAATTCAGGAAAAGTTAGACTAGATGATTGCAAGGTTCCATTCCAAACAGATGATTCTCTGGCTTCATCTTGTCAAGGTCGGTATTAATAACGATAACTCCCATATGAATTGTCTATAGAGTAGATTTTTATCTACTTTGCTTGTTGAATTGAATTATTCTTCACAGAAACAAGAGTTTCAATGTCTCTAATGGGCCATATGTACCTTTTTAAACAATCCGTGAAGGGAGAAAAAAAATGCTCCTAAAAGTCCACTTGTTCATGTGAATTGGTAGAACTGTTAGCCTGATGTAATAGAAGAAGCAATGGGCTGAGAATCAGGATTCTACTTGGTTGATTACATAAACTTCAGCAAGTTTTGCTGGGCCTATTCCCTCATCTGTCAAGTGAAAGAATTAAACTACATAATCTCTAAACTCCCTTCCTCCAGTTCCAACACTGGAAAAGTCTATCACTTTCAGGTTTCCTCTACTTTAAATTATCTTTTTAACAGGGTATTTAATATTGTAAGACTGGATAAACGTTGCTAAAATGGTACCCAAAAATGACGCAGAAGGAGTTTTTGAGAAAAAAAAACAACTAGCAAAGAAATGTTCAACATTGAAACTGCTTTTAATTTGGACAGGCATAGATATTTTTGTGTGAATAAGAAAACAGTCCATTAAAATTCATCTCGTGGTGGGTGATTTAAATGCCAGTAATAAATCTGATGGTTGTATTTTAGAGTTATTCTGAAAAAAATATATATAAAGATCCTCCATAAACAATACATTGGGAGTGACTATAATGTGTATTTCCTTTTTAGTTCAATAGATATGAAAGTATCACTTCTTTTTGTTTAAAAATATTGATTTTAGTAGAAACACTGAAGTAAATAGTAAAATTAATTATATACAGAACATATATATTCTATATATACAAATATACGTATACATAGATGTAGTAGCTATTAAAGTATACACCTCTTAATAACACCTAATGCATTTTTAATCATTGAATGAAAATTCTCTGGGTAATGTTCTTTTTTTATGAATCTCTTAGAAAACTATTTTTCTGTTTCTAGAGGGCATCCTGCAAAAGCAAACGCAGTCTCTTTTGCTCTTCTTTCTTGGGTGACGCCCATTTCTTCTTCAGGTACTGAATTTCAATCATCCCAGATGTTTTGGCTAGTGCCAGACCAAGGAATCTGTTTGTCTTTTCTGGATCACCCATGACTGTTGCAATTATCAGCCTAAAAAAGAAAGCATTTATTTGCAGCCAGATCAATTATGAGGAGACACACAACACCCCTTGTTTGTTTTCTTTCCATTTCTGTGATACCTTTCTGACTTCCAAACCAAGGAGCAAAATAGAAAATTCAAAAAAACCCAACAACTCTGGATTAATGTTCAAGCAGGTAAGAATGAGTGCTCTATGGTCAGCTCTCAGACCAACAAAGGGTATAATCAATCACTAAATCAAGCATTTATTAAGCACCTACTATGTGCTAGGCATTGCACTAGATGCTGGGGTTACAAAGTAGGTAAAAAATGAAATGGTCCTTGGTCCTCAAAGAGCTTACAGTTTACTGGGGGAAATAATATGTACATATAAATACATACAAAATAAATATAAAGTAGTCTGAGAGGAATCAGGAAAGGCGTCATGTGGCAAGTGCAGCTGGAGCTGAATTTTGCAGAAATAAAGGATACTAAGAGGTTCAGGTGAGAAAGGTGAATACTCTAGGCCTGGGGTCAGCCAGTGCAAAGGGAAAGGGAGAGGAAATGGAATGTTCTGTGAGAGAAACCGTGAAAGAGCAATGGAAATAAAGGTGGAAAAGGAGTTCGGGGTGTGTTTAGACATGTGCTTTTGGGAAATCACTCTGGCAACAGAGTGGAATGGACTGCACTGGGGAAAGCTCAAGAAGAATAACCAATTAGGAAGGCACCGTTTTAGAAGCATTACATTCTTTTGCCAGCCTGGAAGGAATTATATGCCAGGTGAGTCTCTGGATTTCCAGGCTTCTGAGAAATGGGAGCAGTTTGGCTGTATTCCATTTTGAAACCATCCCAGGAGCTGGAAACCATTAATTCATCCATTCAATAATTTAGTCAAGTGTTTACTGAAGTGATTATTTTGAGGAGCTACAGAGAACTCTAATCCCATATCTCTGTCATCTGGCTATTCTATTAGTACTTCAAATTTAACATGTCCAAACAGCAATTCAGCTCCACCACCACCACCAACCAAACATTCATCTCCTCCTCACGTCTCTATTTTTGCTGAGGGTACTACTACCCTGCCAGATTCACAACACAGGAGTAGAATACTGAATCTGGAATCAAAAAACCTGGGTCCAAATACTCATTAGTCCCTGTGACCTTGGGCAAGTCATTCATCCTCTTGGGGCTTTGGTTTCCTCATCTGTAAAATGAAGCTCTAAATCTATGCTGCTTTGATCTTATGATTCTTCACCTCTTGTCTCCAGACACACATTATCCAATCACAGATGCCAGATCCAGTTGATTCCACTTCCACAGCATTTCTCCCACTTTCCATTCCCACAACCACTACTCTGGTCGTGATTTTTCACCTTGATTACTGTAATGGCTTCCTCACTGATTTCCCTATTTCCAATCTCTCCTCTTTCCAACTCATCCTTTCATCCATCCAACTGCCAAAATGTCATGCTGAGGTTAAGTAAGGTGTGACCAAATCATTCCCCTCCTCAAATATCCTCAGTGGCTCCCTGTTGTCTCTAAGATAAAATAGAATTTCTGTAACCTGGCATTTAGTGCTCCCCATAATCTATCCAACATTATTACACATTGCTCCCCTTCCTCAGTCTCCTTTGCTGGATCTTCATTCAAGTCATGCCTGCTAATCATGGGTGTCCCACAAGGCCCTGCACTGGGTCCTCTTCTCCCTTTATATTACGTTATATTACTTTGCTTGATGATCTCATCAGCTCCCCTGGATTCAATTACCATGTTATGATGACGACTGTCAAACCTATTTATCTAACTCTAACCTCTCTGCTAAAATTTCCAACTGCTTATTGGATATTCTTTAACTGCAAGTCTTCTAGATGTCTTAAACTCAACATGTTCAAAACTGAACTCATCTTTTCCCCCAAACACTTCCCCTTTTCCAAACTTCTCTATTACTTTAGAATGCACCACCACCCTTCCAGTCCCCCAGACTTTCAATCCACTTGTCATCCTCAACTTCTGTCTCTCTCTCACCCTGCTCCCCATATCCAATCTATTGCTAAAGCTTGTCGACTTTGCTTTTGTAACAGCTCTCAAATAAGCTCCCTTCTCCCCTCTGATAGGTCCATGACCCTGGCGCAGGTTTTCATCTCCTCATGCCTGGCCTATTGCAATTGGCTGCTGGTCAATCTGCCTGCCACAAGTCCTTCCTCACTCCAGTTCATCCCACACTTAGCTGTCAAAATTATTTTCCTAAAGCACAGGTCCTATCATGTCACCTCTCTATGAATAAACTCCAGTGGCTTCCTATCACCTCTAGGTTCAAATAAAGGTTCAAATGCCCTCTGTTTGGCATTCAATGCCCTTCATAACCTAGTCCCCCCAACATCTTACAACCCTCCCCTGCCATGTGTTCTTTAATCCAATGACTCCAGGAACTTCTACCAGCTGTCCCACATGTAAGGAATGCTCTCCTTCCTCATCTCTGTTTCAAGGCTTTCCTGGTCTTCCTTAAAGCCCAACAAAAATTCTACCTACTCCTATTACTGGAAGCCTTTTCCCAATCCCTTGTCATTCTAGTGTGTTCCCTCTGATGATTACTTCCTATTTGTCTTGTATATGACTTATTTGTCCATAGTTGTTTGCATATTATCTCCCCCAAGAGACTGGAAGCTCCTTAAGGGCAGTTGGCCTCCTTTGGCATCCCCAGAACTTAGCACAGTGCCTAGGGCTTAAAAAATATTTATTGACTGAAGCAGCTAGGTGGCACAGCAGACAAAGCACTGGGCCTGGAATGAAGAAGGCCTGAGTTCAAATTCAGCCGAAGACACTTACTAGTTGTTTGACCTTGGTCAAGTCACTTGACCTCTGTTTGCCTCAATTTCCTTAACTGTAAAATGTGGATAATAATAATAATAATAATAATAAGGAGAAGAAGAAGAAGAAGAAGAAGAATAGTACCTACCTCACAGGGTTGTTTTGAGGATCAAATAAGATAATATTTGTAAACTGCTTAACACAGTGCCTGGAACCTAGTAAGCACTATATAAATGTTAACTATTATTTTAGCTGCTGTTGTTATTGTTGTTGGCTGACACTCTACATTCCTACCAAATTGGATTACTATCTGTTCCTCTCCATCTCCTGCCTCCACTCACAAGTATAAATTGTGTTTGGCATGGACATCCCTTATCACCTCTGCCTTTTCTTTAACTCATAGGATCATAGATTTGGAGCTGAAGGGACCTTGGAGGTCAACTTCCCTGATTCTATATATCAGGAAACATTGGCCCCGAGAAGGGAAGCATCTCAGGTAGTAAGTTGTGGAGCCAGAAATCAAACCAAATTCAGGCCGGACCTCTTTCTACTATACCTTGCACATAACCTTGAAAAATCTACCTCAAATAAAAATAAATAATGATTTAAAACTAGATAATGCAGGTTCAAACACAATGCATAACTGTAATATTAAACCGTTTATAGAAGATGTTTCCTTACTCATTATGCAAGGATAAAAATAGTTTTACAGATGAACTTCATAAATTAGTTTTTGCTTTATGTAAATTTGCATTATGCAGATTGGTTTCTGTATTCCTTCATATCAAAAGGCAGGTTTGCATATTAAAAAGAAAAATAATATTCAAAGGAACAGATCCACCAACCTAGACAAAGTACTCCCTGGTACAGGAGTTCCTAGTTTGAAAACCTGAAAATTGCATGAGAAGGTATAAGATCTCTGGTGAGCTCTGAAATCCCTCCTCCTTCCTCCTAGCATTGTTAGAGAAAAGTAGTATGAGAGAAAGGCTAAAGAAAGGTGGCCTAACCTGTGTGGGTATGGAGAGAACACAGTAATTCTCTTTATTCTTCTCTAGGTCCTACAGATAAGAAAAGTAAACCAAAGGTAACTGACTTACTTGCCCAAGATTAGCCTAAAACAGAAATGAATTAGCTTAGAATGAAAATGTCCTTCAAGATTCTGCACTTTACAGCTCTGTTGCCTTCGACTTGGTGTAGTTTTCCCAGTGGCTAAAGCTTTCTCCCTTCTTAATTTAGCACATATAATCTTAGAGATGTGTATACAGTATATTCCCATATATAATGCCTGGGAGCAGAAGCAGTTTTGTTTCAGCATGTGGTCTGGTGCCTTAAAAATGGGAGATGCTAATAAATGCTTGCTGAACTGAACAAGTTGGATAGACTGAGTCTCTGCCCCAAAGGAGGAGTTAAAATCTAGATTAAAATTATCCTCAGGCATTGAAGGATTAAGTCATGATAGAGGGGAGAAAAATATTTATACTGTTGTGATCTGCTGTTCCTCTCTCCCTCAGAAAGTGTGCTAGATCTGGAGGTAAAGGACCCAAGTTCAAATTCCAGCTCTCCACTTACTAGCTTGTGTGACCATGGGCAAGCCACTTCCCTTTTCTGGGCCTCAGTTTCCTCCTCTGTAAAATGGGGTTAGACTCGATGGATTCTAAGGTTCCTTCCAGCTCCAAATCTATGATCCTATGATGCTGTAAGTGATACAAATATAGTGCAAATCAAATGCTACAGGTTTTCAGGCAGAAGACTTTCTGTTCCTGCTGTCTGTCCTTTGCTCTTGAAGAGGACCATGACACCAGGGAGGTGATAACAGGACATGCAAGTGAATTGGATAAGTGAGGGAAGACGGTGCAAAATCTCACTTTCTCTTCTGGAGCCATCTGGGTCCAGCGGCCAGATATGGATCAGGACAACTGGAGATGGCCCACGATGCAGTGGGGGACCTTGGCTTTTTTCAAGCTAAGGTCCTTAACAAGCTTCAGTTTGACTGAGGCAGTGCCCATTCAGTGATTAAGGCTTAATAAAAAAAAAATGAGGCAAAGAATGGCCTCTTAAGAAAAAAAAAACAGATCTGGGAGGGGAAGACCCTCAGGTTTCTGGTCAAAACAGAAACAATTGTTATTTACATTCATTCTGAGTCAATCAGGGCCCAAACAGTGACCAAGTAGAGAGTGGTCTAGGACCAGAGTGATTTGGGGTTAAAGCTAGTCTTTGAGGGAAAACAAAACAAAACAAAAAAAGGTTTAGAGATTAAAATTTACATTTCCTTTGGGCAGAGCCCAGGCAGGTAAGGCTATGATACCCTATGTGGATAGAGAAGAAAGAAAAGAAAAAAATAAAAAGAAAGAAAGGAAGGAAAGGAAAGAAAGGAAGGAAGGAAGGAAGAAAGGAAGAAAGGAAGAAAGAAAGAAAGAAAGAAAGATTTGGAGCTGGAAGAAAGGAAGAAAGGAAGCTGGGTTGCCCAACTGGAAGTTTCGTCCCTAGTGGGCTGCTCCTTCTCTACTCACAGAGGTTGCTGTCTGTTCTTTCGTTCTTGAAGAACACTTATTTACAGCTTGAAGGATGTCAATAGGTTGAAAGGGTGGGGTGGAATTGCATGAGTAATAAGTAGTATTAGAAAAGGCACACAGGAATTAAGAACAAGACGTGTGTGAATAAAGGTGAACAATTTAGCTTGGTAGATGCTGCCTGACTCTATCATATCTCCCACAGTGGCTGTTGCCAACTCTTCTTTCCTTAAGGCCCCTTTGCCATCACCTTCACTCTCCTCCTCTTTACACAACTATTTTACTAAGAAAACGGAGTCTATTCAATATGATCAAGCCCTTCTATGTCATTCCCCAAGTCTCTCCTCCTTTATGCCAGTCTCTATGGAAGAGGAGATGCTGTGCCTTGGATCCTCAACCTTCTCTTATAGGAGATTTTGTCTTTAACCATTTTCCTTTTCTCACATCTCTAATCTTATCTACTGACTCCTTTCCCTATGCCTATAAACATGTCCAGATCTCCCCCATATTTAATAAATGTTCATTTAACCATGCTACCCCATCTCAAGCTACTGCCTTTTTTGCATCTCTTTTTCCCCTTTCAGACAATCATGCCATTACCTTACTTCAGGCCCTCATCATCTCTCATTAGAATAGCCTCCTAATTGGTTTCTCTATTTCTATTCTGTCCCCTCTCCAATCCATCTTCCACACAACTATTATATTAGTATCCCTAAGATACAGGTCTGCCCATGTCACTACTCTATTAAACATTTTCAGTGACTCCTCTTGCCTTTAGGATAAAATACAACCTTCTCAGCCTTCCAATTAAAGCTCTTTACAATATGGCTACAACTTGCCTTTCCAGACATTTCATATTTTTCCTTCCCCTATTTTGTGTTCCAGTCCAAACTTGCCTTTCCTTTCATTCAACATACCCTCTCCTATTTCTGGGCTTTTCCCCATTTCTTATGCGTTGTGTATACTACCTCGTCCCTCTGCCTTTGAGAATTTGGGGCTTCTCTTAGGGCTCACCTCTGGCACCCCCTCCTCTGTGAAGCTCTTCCTGACTACCCTCATTGTCCACATTCACTCCATCCCTGAGTTACCTTGTATTTCCTTATTTGTGTACATCTTGTGCCCCCACTCCAGCCTCACAAGTGACTCTCTTGTGTCTCCTCAGATTCTTTATCTTTTTTGTTTTTATCTTGAATCCCTTTATCCAAGGAACCTATTATAAGGGAAGCTAGTCAGACTGTGGAATAACCAGAGAAGTCTGGTGTGTCTCTACCTCTAAATCCCATACCCACCAAATAACTCGGAACAACATATGCTTATAAATTCCTCAAAAGCTTAAATTTAATTTATGTTCTTAAACTGATTTTGCCCTCAGGTGCACTTACTTCAATTCTTGGGTATTAAGTATAAGTCTAATATCCAAATAACCTGAATTTAACCAAATGTGAACAATAATTAATTTTTTAAAAGAGGTGGAAGAAAGTTGTAGGGTATGATATATAAGTAAATACAGGCAGTCTTTCAGAATCCATAACATTCTGATGTGGCCTAGTGGTCTCACATATCAACTGAAAAAGAGAAGGAAAAATCAAAGGCTCAAAGACTGACCATCAAAGACTTTATCAAAGAAACGCTTCTGACAGTTCATTATAAATTTTATCTGACTTACTTATCTGGAGAGATAAGTTGTTTGGCTACAGGTCCGAGATCATTTTCTAACAGGTCCCAAATGTAAATGTTGGATATGTCATCCTGGACCAAAAACACAGCAGGTCTTGTCTGTGCCCACTTCAAGGAGATAATTGCCTGGCCATTGGTACTGTTATTCCACTGACAAACTGGATACTCAGAATTTAGTTGATGTAATCTAATGCTTCCATCTGAACAGCCAGCCTGTAACACAGAAGAAAAACATAAATAGGCTAACCAAAAATAAACAACTCATAAAAATGATACTGTTGAGAGGTATGGCAAATTCTACAGTTAAAATAAATGTTAATTATTAATAAAAGTTGAAATATCAGCTACTAACATATAGGCTACCAAGGTTGCCTTTGGATACAAAAGAATAGCCAACTATTTTTATAGTATTATACATCTGTTCTACCCATTTACTACTTATATGACCTAAGTGAAAATTTTCATAGAAGCAAAATCCACTAACTTATCAACACTCACACTTCTAAATGATAGCCTAAACTGAGGAGTTGACTTCTTTTGGCCAATATAACATGAATTAAATGCTCCTTGAAAAAAATGTGTAACTGATTTCACTCATTTTATTTTCAAAAAGTCATTTCCCACGGGAGAATATATACAATGGCTAAAACCAAATCTACATACATATCTAACATTTAGAAAACAAGAGGCAAAAATCCGGAAAAGCTAAGCTATTGAATATTGACAAAATTTAGGAATTCAACAATTCAACAACAATTTTAATTTTAATTCAAAAACTGAAGCAGATTGGTGATCTCATTTATCATTTAACAGCTAAGGTTGAACGAAAACTGTTTTAACACCGCTATAGTTCTCATGTAATCTCCAAAAAAAAAATCTCATTGCTTTTTCTTAATGTTTTTTGGAATGCATTTTTTAAAAATTTATAACCTTTGCAGAATATGGCTTGCCACGTACACTGACAGGTAATTATGAATAAAATTAGGACACTTCTTCAAGCAAAAAAAAAAAAATTGGCTCTGATTTTTTCCTACTGAGCCTAGGTTGTTCTACCCTAGTGGTAATCACAATAGCAATAATAAAATAAATCTGAATTTAATTGAAAAGGAGAACCATATTATTATTAACAATTCATATTTTGATTAAACAGGAACAAGAGTATCAGAAAACCATCATTATGATTACCTTTTCAATTATTCTCCTTGGACACATGATCTTTGAAATTCTCTAAACTGCAGGTTTCAGATTTTGAGGGGCACACATAAAAAGGTGCTGAGCAAGGAAGGCTTTACTTAATGAGGTACTTGTTTGTTTTATCTTCAAGGGCAAAAACCATTATTAATACACCAACACCCTACTTGCAGTGATTATAGGTTCATGCTAGGATGGAGAAAGATCCTAGTCACCCAATCTGTATATTCCTTAGTCCGTGCTTCTTGTAAATGAGTAGCAAAATTGGGGGAAAGGATTAAAATGGGCAGGAGGAATACAGAAAAGCATGAGCTGCTATTCATTTCAATTCAGTAGGCTAGTTTAAACTACAAATGTAATTAAGACATTACAAGTGGTGCAAAGCTAAAGGAGGAGGAGACAATCAAAAGGCAATTTCTCTGTTTTGCAAGAGATGATCATGGGGAGATTTCACAGAACATGACCCTGCACATTTAATTATACAGTGTACTCTAAAACTATAAAGATCTGTGATTTCATCTGCCAATGTAAATCTCTATCACTCCGAGCCTTGGGAGGTGGCTTTCATGAACTAAAAAGAAGTAAGTGTCTGATACCCAGCCTTCTGATGACAAAAGTACCTTTTGGCTGGCGTGCGTATGATTTACAATCACCCAGCACACACTCCTGGCCCGTGGCAGCTCGGTAAAGCCTGTCGAAACTGACCCTGGTCTACCACAGCCTTCCAGAATTCGGGGCTTTCTCCCTCTCACAATGAAGTACCGACATAAGATCTTTGCTTTTTAACTTAGAAGTTACTAATTTTAAAAAAAATCCCACTGTTTTCCCTAAAACTCTAAGCTATTAACATCCCGTTTGTTTAAAGAATAGGCATAATGTTTGCATATGCAATATTTTTACAAGTAAATCTTCACAAGTATCATGCTCCCCAAACAGAATATAAAATCAAATAGGAAGAATGCATTAAAAAAAAAAACTTTCATACCAAAAACACTGGTTCTCCAAATGGTGAAAAGTCAATCACAGTAACTTTCACTGGTCTTTCTTCACGTTGTTGGGGTTTGAACAGTTTTGGCGACACTTTTGAATCATGTCTTGCACCATGACTTATAACACCCTATTAATATGAAGAAATTGATGACAGATATCTAAAGTAGACAGAAGTGTTTAGATAAATGTATTCCATTCATTCAATCAAAAGGCATTTATTAGAACCTATCATGCATCAGGCACTGTGCGATTAAAAAAAGGTAAATAATTCCCGATATGAAGATGCTTAGATTCTAACATGGAAGATAACATGCACGTACACCAGGCCTATATAATTCAGATATAATATAACTTTTGGGGGGAACAGGGAGGCAGTTAAAAGCTGCGGGGAGAATAGGAAAGGCCTCGGGCGGAAAATGGGGTTTAAGGTTAGTCTCCAAGTACAACAGGATTCTGAGGAGCGGATGTGAGGTGGAAGTACATGCCAAGCATGGAGGACTGTAGAAGTAGAGGTGATAGATAGGGTGTCCTCCATGAGAAAGAGCGAGGCTAGAGGACAGTAATGTATAATAAGGCTGGAAAGGTAGGCTGGGGACAGGGTTTGAAGAGTTTTAAAATGCCAGAGACAGTTTTTATTTATCTTAGTAGTAAAAGGAGAGTTCACTGGAGTTTATGGGGTCACTATAGTCAGACCTGCACTTTTGAAAAAATCACTCTGGCAGCTGTGGAGGACAGATTGGACTAAGTAGAGACTTAGCACCCTTCTTTTTTCTCTGTAAAGCTTCTCACTCGTTGACCCCATTAGCCCCCAGTGATCATCTATTCCAGGCCTCAAGGCCACAGGTTCCCCACCCCACCCCACCCCTGAATTATTCAGATGAATTCTAGGTCTATACATCCAGCCCTGGTCTATTCTGGGAATAGTCAGCACATTAAATTTATGAGGGAAAATCATTTACTGACTCACACTGAAAACATGGAATGATTTTTAAAGACATTTTGGGAAAATCCTGGGAAATGAAAGGAATCAGTTACAGAAGGAAACTTCAAATATTACTTACCCTATCTGTACCAATAATGTAACGATTAGGATCTGAAGGCAAAAACTTAACAATCAGTGTCTGCATAGGCCTCAAACTTGTGTTAACTTTAGGGGGAAAGCTAAGAAAATACAATAGAAAAACAATGTGAATAGAGTTTGTCTTTAGAAACCTCAAGGACATGTAAATAGCATTAACACGGCATTAAATATTTGGCATAGGCATTTATTTCATAGTTAGATTACGTAGAGGAAATTGCTTATTATCCATTATGGAAATTAGCCTATTTGCTATCTGATATAATACTGGGGGAAGAGTTAAAAGAGTTCAGATTCAAGTAAAACTATGTGATAATGACCTTTAACATATCAATTAACCTGTTCCTAACTCAATTTTTCTACCTATAAAATGGAAAAATATCACTTGCCTTCAACATGAATGTTATGAGAATAAAACAAATGATAAATAAAAGTGGCTGATGGTGACCTAACAGCCCACTGCATTCAAATGCACATCAGCCTTGATCTTGCCTCCTAATGGATGCAGCTACTGGAAGACTGCCCTAAGCCACATATGTGGCTTACTTGTTTAACACATAACAGGACTCAGAGATGTTTGAAAGGAAGACTAGCATTTAACTATGGTTTTCTCTGTAATGAGAAAAACTGAAAGGGCACCAGACAAAAGTTAAAAAAAAAAAACAAACAAAAAAACATACTACAAAATATGGACAGCATCCTAGGTCAGGAACAATTAGTTGAATATTTCTCTGTAGGAATCACCTAAACTCATATGATTCAAACTGGAATAATAAATTCAAAGACTTATTCTTTGGAGATAATTTACAAATCCAAATACAATCCACGCTATTTTCTTAAAAAAAAACAACAACAACAACTTAGAAATAGCAGAAGAAGCAGGCCCAGTGTACTAGGGCTATTTCTTTTTTGTCTTTATATTCCCAGCATCTAACACATTGCCTGGCATATAATGAGCACTCAATGAATGGTTGATGAATGAATGAACGAATGAACTCTAATCCCCAAAACCAAAGGGCTTGGATCGAGATCCTACTGTGTCACTAACTAGCTAAATGATCTCAAGTAAGTCCCTTCACATCACTAAGCTTCATTTTTCTCACCTGTAAAGTCAAAGAGGTTGGACTAGACAGGAAAGAACAGAGGGCAGCTAGGTGGCACAGTGGAGAGAGCACTGACCCTGGAGTCAGGAGGATCTGAGTTAAATCAGGCCTCAGACACATAAAACTCACTAGCTGTGTGACTCTGGGCAAGTCACTTAACCCCAATTGCCTCACAAAAAAAAAATAAATAAATAAAATAAAAACATAGATATGAAAGAACACTTGTTCTGGAGTCAGAAGACTTGGGTTCAAACCCTCCCTCTGACATTTACTACTGTATAGCCTTGGGCAAGTCACTAAATGTCCCTGGAACCAAGTGCTGGGTACACCACAAATTTATGTGCTTTAATCTCAACTGGTCTTTCAATGCATCAAGGAAATCATCCTACTACTCCCTAATCAATTTGCTATCCCATTCTCCACAGAAGTTGTTTCAAACCTTCTCGTTTCTCTTTTCAAAATTTTTATATTTTTCCAATTATATGCAAAAACAATTTTAAAATTTATTTTTATAAATTTTGAGTTTCAAATTTTCTCCCTCCCTCTCCTCCCCCTTTGAGAACATAAGCAATTTGATATAGATCATACATGTGCAGTTATGCAAAATATATTTCCTTATTAGCCATGTTGTAAAAGAAAACACAGACCAAAAAACAAACAAAAAAAAAAACCCAAGAAAAATGAAGTAAAAAAAAGTATGCTTTGAACTGCATTCAGACTCTACCAGTTCTTTCTCTGGACAAATCAAGACCAGATGGATTTACAAGTGCATTCTACCAAACATTTAAAGAACAGTTAATTCCAATATTATATAAATTGCTTGAAAAATAGGCAAACAAGGGACCCTATGAAATTCCTTCTATGTCACAAATATAATTTTGATTCCTAAGCCAGGGAGAGTCAAAATAAAGAAAGAAAACTGAAGGTCAACTTCTCTAATGAATACTGATAAAAACATCTTTTAATAAAATATTAGCAAGGAGGCACAATAATATATTACAAAGATCAACACTGACCAGGCTGGATTTATACCAGAAATTTAGGGCTGGTTTGATATTAGGAATACTAAGAACATAACTGACCGTGTTAATAACAAAACAAACAAAAATCCAGTAATTATTTCAATAGATGCAAGAAAAGCTTTTGACAAAATGCAATGCTCATTTCTGTTTAAAAAAAAGCAGTAGAAGGTATAGGAATAAATAGATCTTTCCTAAAAATAATAAATAGTATTTATTTAAAACCAAGAGCAAGAATTCTGTGTAAGGGGATAAGTTAGAAGGCTTTCCAATAAGACAAGGGGTAAAATAAGCATGTCCATTATCACCAATAATATTGATGTTTTTGATAACCACAGAACTAATTTCTGGGGGGGGGGGAAATAACACAATAAAGATATCAAAATTAATTCCTATTTTCACAATATTAAGTGATACTGTTACAAGATATAATACCATGAAATAGATGCCACAAACAAGATAAAATTCTGATGAAATTTGCTCAAATTTTCAGTTAGCTAAATACAGCAAGAAGGATTTATACATACAGAAGGAGGAATTTTTATTTCTGGAATAGCTCCCAGACTAATAAAAGTTTTACATAAATATTACATTCTGCTTCCAGAAACTGAATTATTTAAGGACGATTTAACTTTGGTATCCTATTATCTAAATTGAGGCCGTACAGCATGGTGGAGTGCTGGATATAAAGACAGGAAGGCTTGGATTCCAATCTCTCTTCTGACACTGTGTCAGCACAGGCAAAGCCAGCAGCCTCTCTATTCCTCGGGCAATTTTTTTTTTCTTTTTCTTTTTGGTGAGGCAATCGAGGTTCAGTGACTTGCCCAGGGTCATACAGCTAGTAAGTGACAAGAGTCTGAGGCTGGACTCGAACCTAGGTCCTCTTGATTCCAAGGTCGGAGCTCTATCCACTGTGCCACCTACCTGCCCCTCCTCAGGCAATTTCTAAAACTCATCTACTAAATTACAGACAGGGTGCAATCTTCATTGGTGAGGGAATTCCCTCACTAACAAAATCACAGATCCTTGATTTCCTGACATGGCATATTTTAAACAGATTTAAAATACAAATCAAATAACAATGATCTACAAAAGTTAAAGCATCTCTATCCTAAGGGAAGGAAGTTTGGTTTTGTGAAGTCTGTGAAGTTTTGTTTTGTTTTTTTTTAATATTTTGATAATTCTTGGAATATAACTGGTCCCATTTGCAATATTATGTATTTCATTTTATACACATAAAAATACTATTCTGAGAAGGATCTAATAGGCTTAACCAAACTGCCAAGGGGGTTCATGACACAAAAAAGATTAAGGATCCCTGACCTAAGGAACAAAGTCATTGATCCTTCAGACATTTTTCTAAGCATATATGCTTCTTACCAATGAACCATTTCATAGTACAAATAATATAATGGTTGCCAAAATTCATCATGTATTCATTTCTAAATGCAAAATCTCATTTCTATCTTGCTTTTAAGGGAGGCTAATGAGCCTAATATAAATATATTATTTTTAGCATATTAAACATGGTATCGATGACTTACCTGTTATTCAACTGAATTGTAGAGCTGTGTACCAGCTTTATCTTTCCTCCTGGTATTAAACCTAAAAATAGGTAGACCAAAAACAAGTTATTCTATTTGTACAAGTGGTAACTAAAGAACTTAAAAAAAACTCCAAAATCACTTGTTATTACTTAAATGTCTTATGTTAGGAAATGATGGCAAAGTGGGAATCAATATAATTAAAATGTATGCATAGAGCCATACTTATGATCAGGCTAAATAACAATTATTAATTATAATTAATAAAATGTGGATGTAATGTGTACTTTGGTCTAGTATATCTGTTGAAATTAAATACATATGTATTTATGTATATATGTATATATTCTGTCATATACTTTGCTAATATGCAACACAAAAAGATAAGCAATGTAATATCTCAAATTTGACTATCAATTAATATCCTTCAGTAAAATATTTTCTTGGGCAATGTAGGAGCCTAGCTACAGGTTAAAAGTGGAATACTAATTGTAGTTTCTTGATCTATTCCCCAACACTTTGCACGAAGGTTCTTAATAAATGATTGTGGAAGAAAATGGGATATTAACTTGGAAATATTAACCAAGCAATTTCCCCCCTTTATTTTTTTCAGCTCATTAAATTACCTTTTACCAATATTACATGAAGAAATAGTCTAGAATGATGATTTTTCCTGATAAAAAAAGTGTTCACTATTCCTCATTAAGGGAGAAGTGGAACATCCCTTTATAGAATACTATGCTCGTACCATAAATCATATTAAAAAAACTTCAGATAGTTTATCAGCAATTTCACAACCTAAGGCATCTAAAAGCTACTTTCACACTAATTCAAACCACATCTCTGCCAAAACTTAAGAATTTATCAAGCATCAAAATTCCTTATGCTTTAATGAAGTTATTCTGCATCTTGTTATATTGCTTTAAATTAGTGGTAAAACATTCCTGAAGTACACTTGATTGAATATAGAGCTATATTCAGAAATTAAGGAAATATATAAATATTAAATTCATTATTAAAAATAAAGTTTAAAAGATAAAGAAAAGGAGATAGAAGTTATTTACTATTTTACAGAAGCTCAGCCTATCACTGAAAATTTTTTTTCTCTACAACATACCCCACACAAATGGTCATCGAGCCTTTGCTTGGGGACCTACAATGAGGGAAGCCTTTTTATCTCCTGAGGGCACTCCATTCCACTTTTGGAGAGCTATAATTGTCAGGAAATATTCCCTCACATCAACTCTAAACTTGTCCCTTTGTAACTCCCACATCCATTGCTCCTGGTTCTGTACTCTGAAACCAAACAGAACAGCTCTAATTCATCTTTACCAGGTGACTGTCTATGAAATACTTGAAGATAACAATTATGTTCCTCCTCCCGCCCACCCCAAGTCTTCTCTTCTTTGGATCGAACATCTCCAATTCTTCTAGCTGATCCTGAAAGTGGGGGCCATCATCAGCCTGGTTGCTTTTCCTGGGATACCCTTTGGGCTTATCTATCTACATCCTAAAATGTGACGCCCATAAGTGTGTTCTGACAAAGGAAAGCACACCCTCGGTTCAAGCCTTAGACAAAAGGACCAACCAAATCCGAAGAATGGCCTCCTTGCCCTCTTAAAGGGAAACCAACCTGGCCTATGTAAAGCTTATACTGCTCTTATCACAATCTCAAAGGTCCCTTCCACAGCTACATCTCTGATAAAAATGTTAAACTGCATATAGCCAAGAATAGATTACCAGAGCACTCCACTGGAGAAGTTTAATCAATTAATTGGTGGCTACTCTTTAGATCTGGCCATTCCATCAGTTGTGAATCCCATCTTACATATCATCCAGCCCACATCTCTCCATCATTTCCACAAGAAATAGTAGAGCATTCTCCTTATTTACAACTTTGTCAAAAAAATAAAAAAGCATTAGTGTGGCATGACCCACTCGTCATAAAGTCATTCTCCTGCTCTGTGATTACCACTTCCTTTATGAGGTGTTTATTAACCATTCCTTTAAAAACATACTCTAGAATTTTTTTAGGAATCAGAGTCAATTCACTGTCTTATAGCGTGAAGACTTTTTTCTCTTCATGTTTTGAAAACTGGGAATGTAGCACCTTTCACATTCTCCCTGATCTTTCAAAGACTACTGATGGGAGTATGGCAATCACATCAATTAATGTTTTCAGTAACTTATGACGAAGTTCACCTGGGCCTGGTGACTTAACTCTGATCATCAAGGCCAACTAGGTAATCTCTCTTACTATCTCCTTATCTACCTTGGGTATCAACTTCCTGCTCACTAGATTTGTTCTCTCCTTTCCAGTCCAAAGATCATCACCCACGGCAGAGAAAACAGAAGCAACACAAGATAAGTCTGCCTCCTCTCTGCTGCCAGTGATTCTTGTTCTGTCTACCCTAAGCACTGGCCTGATGCTTTCCTCTTTTCCCCAATATGGCCAACAACAACCAAAAAACCCCTTATTGCTGCCATTAGCTTTCTCTGCCAGCTCATTCTTTCTCTCTCAGTTCATTCTAAGCTTTTGCATTACTAATACTATTCACTTCTAAACTTCTTGATTTCAGTGGTTACCAGTAATGAAAATAACATCTGTTTCTCTAATGTCTTTAGCCTCCAGATCAAGAATCTGTAATCTTTATCAGCAGACTTATTCCTTCCACAATCACAGGGGTTTAGAGGTACAGTACCCCTATGATCTGGAAAATCTGTGTAAAATTTTTTGGCCCTCCCTTTGTACGGGAGAAGATATCTGAATTGTTATGGTATTAAAAGATAAAATATGTTGATATTATACAATCCTATACATACATTTTATGCATTTTTACATTTCCAAACTTTTTCTGTGCCATCTGCTGGCCTTTGTGTATTATTCATGGCTTCTGCAAAACTCCCCAAAAATTCCCATTTAATTTTTTATGCCAACCCATGATATATCGAAAACATGATGGGCAAAGTTGAGATATGGAAGGGATAACTGTGCTTTCTAGCAATATCTGGCAGATCTAAGTCACTACTATTAAATTACAGTTTGTTATTGATAATTAGATGCTTACATGAAGGAAATAAGATTAAATGAAGAAATGAAGTCCAAAATTTAGGAAATTTTTTTACTATAAATCTTATCCTTTGTTGAAAATGCACTTGAATGCTTCATTATTTCAGATTCATGTTGGAACTATAAGCCACAAAGTAAAGAACAAGCTAAGAAATGGCGAGCAGATAGTATTGGTCAAAATCACTTTGAGACAACATAATAGTTTTTATCCTTTAGTATGCTTTAGTTTACTGTTACTTTCTTACTTTAGGTTCCTAGTTAAGATTCTAAATGATTTCATATTTACTTTGTCTAGAAAAGTCAAGATTTAATCCAAACTCTATATTCAGTAGAACTCTAGCTAACTACCTTTAACTAGACCACTCAAATAAATGGTATTTTCACCATGGTGGTAGTTTTAAGTAAGGAGAGAAAAAGCTACTGTGTTGTTTAGAATTTTATAAATTTTGCAACAACTTTTATATTTGATCTAACATATTTAATGGCCTTGACTTTTTGTTTAGGGAAACTAAAAATAGTAAATGTCATGAAAATTTGTTTGAAAATAAAGTTCTAAATAAAAATAAAGTTCTGAAACTCCTGCTTTGAGATTACAAGCACAGGATTCTTTTTTAATTTCAATTAAGGAAAAAATGTAGTTTTCTGGTCTAACAGAAGTGTTGGAAAGTATAGATCTCCCCCACCTTAGGAAAATACTACTAAATAATGTTTTTATGCATTCACAATCATACTTTTTCCTTTTATATTTTGTAGTTACCTAGATCACTTTGGGAACCTGCAAAATCCGCTTTTGGTAGTTCAACCACCACCTAAAATTAGAAAATTCGTGATCAACAATAACTATAAAACAATCTAAGCAAAACCTGACTATACCAAGTTGCTTTGGCTAACATTCAACAGTGACAAAAACACTGTGAGAAAAACTAAAATTATTAAACTCAATACAACATTCTTAACTTGAGTTGACATATATAAAGTGCTTTACAAATCTAAAAGTGCTACATAAATGGCAGTTATTATTATTATTACTCATTCTACTTTATTGTTCTCTTCACTCTCTACATTCTCTCCCTCTGTAGGCTAATTTACTTCCATGGCTTCAATTATCACTTCTATGTAGATGATCCTTAATTCCTGATTTCCAAAAGACTTGCAACTTTAGGATGGATATTTCCAATTTGAGATACCAGGGAAACTTCAAACTTTCCTCCTTGTTCATCAGTCATATTTTCTTATTTCTGTTATTGGTCTCATATTATTCATAACCATGAAGGCCCAAAATTTCAGAGTTCAGAGACAGATACTGTATTGGTATCATTTATCAGTAACTCACGTGGCCTTTGATCATGTATTCTGCTGCTTACAATTTCAGGAACCTTAACGTTTTAATGTATATAATACTAAATAGTAGTAGTAGTAGCAGCAGTAGCAATAGCGGCAGGAGGAGGAAAAGGAGGAGGAAGACAAGGAGAAGGAGGAGTAAATAGTATTTGTCAAGGAAATGCCTAGAGAATGTTGCATAAAATGTACTATGGAAAAGGAAAGACCTAACAAGACCAATAGGGTTAGGGTTATGTTTTTAAGTTGTGGGCTTTAAAACAAACACACACACACACAAACACACACACACACACAGAAGGTAATAGCTCGTTTCAATGATCTAAAATCCTTCTTCATCGAAGGCAAGTATAAATTTTTTTCATGTAGTTTACTCACCCATATATTAAGAATTCCATTTTCATCCAGTGAAGCAATGTGGAATGACAAACCGGATATTTCTAATTTAAACCCAAAAAAAGGAACATAAATATCAATTATTTATAAATAAAACTGTATTTAATGTTTATTTGAGAATTACAAATCACATACCTTCTTGATGAGAGAAAGGTGAAAGCACAAAGTTCTGTTTTCTGTAGACAGATGTTGAAACTGGTTCTATTGACTGAACAGGACTTCTGTGGTTTACTATAGTAAGAACACCATCTATTGTGTTAAAAACAAAACAAAAGCCATTGCACTTTTTTGAACCTTCACATCTGCATTCACATTATAGTATAAAAGTGGAAAATAATTTATTCCTAAAATCTGTAAAAAGGTCAAAATTTACATCATGAAAACCTTACAAGGGTTACATTTGATGCTCTGGCTTCACTTTCCTCCTTTCCCAGTCTTGATATTTACAGTTTTTGACCAACTCAACTTCATACTGTCTGCTCCTCTAGTATCCCTCTCGTCTTTGTCATATTAACACTCACGTACAATCTACAGCCGTGAATTATTCCCGTCACCCACCAATCTACTCCTGCTCACACACTGCTGAACCGTCCTGATCTAAGTCCTACAACCATGTTTACTGGATCCAATGCAAATATAATTTATCTAATCTCAACTTGACCTTCACTGCAGTATGGGGATCTTTTATTCTTTCCTAACTAACTCTTTCTATACGCAATGGCTTTTCCAAACCTCTTCTTTTCTTAGTTTTCCCACTCTGACTTAACCTTCTGACCCGCCTCCTTAACTGTCAAATCTAATGGCCTTTTCTCAGTTCTTAGCTTTCTTGTCCTCTCCATAATATTTTATAATGTGAACCACCCTCTTCTTTGGAAACTCTCTCCTCTCTGGAGTTTTCATGACACTGCTTCTTTATTCTCTTCTGACTTTTCTGGTTGTTCCCTCTCAGTCTCTTTTGCTGGGTCATCATCCATGTTCCACGCACAAATGTAAACATACCACAATGCTCTATCGTGGGCTAACTCTCTACTCTCTAAGGGATCTCACCAACTCCCACTGCCAATTATTTTCCCTAAGCAAATGATTCCTAGATCTAGTTCTATAACGCTGGTCTCTTATCTTAACTCCAGATTCATTTCACCAATAGTCAATTGGACACTTTCAAGTGGAAGTCCCACAGGCACCTCAAACAACATAATCAAAACAGAAATCATTATCTTGTCCTCAAAATCCACATATGTTTTTAACTTCCATATTTTCCTCTACTAGCTCAAGTCCTCTTTTAAAAAATATTTTTTATTTATTTTTAACATTCTTTTCTTTTTAAAATGCTTTCCAAATTCTCTCCTTCCCTTCCATCCTTGCCTCATCCACTGAGAAGTTAAGCAAATGACAGCAATTATACCTGTGAAATCATGCAAAACATTTCCATATTAGCCATATTGCAAAAGAGAGAGAGAGAGAGAGAGAGAGAGAGAGAGAGAGAGAGAGAGAGAATTATACTTCAATTTGCACTCAGAGTTCATCAGTTCTCTCTCTGGATGTGGATAATATTTTTTCCCCATGTAACTCAAGACCTCCTGCCTGGACTACTGCAATAGAAGCCTAGTTGCTTTACCAGATCAAGTCTCTCCCTACTCCAAACCATTCTCTATACAACTATAAATAATGATATTCTTAAAGGATGGGTCTAAATATGTCATCCTGCTGTTTTAAAAGCTCGAGGGGCTACCTGTGGGTAAGGATAAAATACAAACTCCTTTCTTTGGAATTTAATGCCTTTCACAACTGGCTCCAGCTTTCCTGTCTTATTACACATTACTCCCATTCAACAACCCAGTCAAACTTGGCTATTTGGTGTTCCTCATGCGTGACATTTCACCTGCTATCTCGATGCCTTTTCACAGGTTGTCTCCCATGTCTGAAATGCATTAACTCTTCACCTCTACTTCTTCACATCTCCAATGTTCTTCCAACTTTGGCTCCAGTACCCCCTTCCTATACTGGGCCTTTTCTCCTGAAATTACTTTTTATTTTTTTTATATGTGTGACATTTACTTATATACAGAGAAGTGGTTTCCCTGATAAAATGTAAGCCTCTTGAAGCCAGAGATTATTGTTTTTGTCTTTGTATCCCCAGCATCTAACACAGTGAAGAATATCTAGCATTAACATAGCATTTAAAGTTTGTAAAGTACTTCACATGTTATCTAATCTTCACAACAACCCTATGAAGGTGCTAAGAAAATGAAGCTGAGACAGGTTAAGTGAGTTGCCCGAGGCCTCATAGCCAGTAGGCTTCTGAGGCAGGATTTTTAACTCTTCTCTCCCTGGTTCCAAGTCCAGCACTCTAACCACTGAACCAACCTAGCCGTAATGAAAGCTTGCTTGATTGATTTAGTGATGCATGTATACACTTCCCTAATATCCATTTCCTTTTAGCAAAATATTATTTCATTCAATTCCATTGGATTAATGATTTCCCACATTTTCTCTCCACCAATCTAATTACACTATTATTTTCACCTATGTTGCTAAAGCTGTATTGATCAAACCAATTTAATATTTAATGTTTATAAACTTTTGGAGAATGTGAAGAATTTAGTAAAGTTATCAAGCACAAGTTCACTTGAGACAATTTTTTTTATTCAGTCTGGAAAACATTTATTAAATGCCTACTACAGGCAAGGCACCATACTAGGGCCTGTACATGCAAACATATATGTGATGCAGAAACAAAGTTCTCAGGAAACTTACAAGGGAGCTTGCATTTTAAATGTTTCAAAGAGTTGCTGTGGTGAATGTGAAGTCAACAGAGATAAATAATAGGACTGTCATGCAAACCAGTTTATATTATGTAGCATAAATTTATGGTGGGCTTAGTCTGCAGTGTTTTATTATTTCCTCCAAAAGCTTTTAGCTGAGAAGGTGAGATTTACTCAGGGTTCAAAGTTTTAAGGTCAAAAAGAACAAAAGGTCAAGGAGACAAGGAATTCAAATATGGAAAACATAGCAATATTAAAATGGTTGGCCATCGAGTCAAAGCAGAGTGAAGTGAAGCCAAAATAACATTGAGAAAACGGGACAATATGGAAAAATCAAGGAAATTTAAAGGTCATAATGAGGGCAAAAAACAGGCGTAGGAATACCGAACTGGGAGAGGCAGGACAGGAGATTGTGGTCTGAGAGGAGCATTTCAGAATTAATTATCCTGAAGTACGGCAATTTCAAATAAGGGTGAAGTTGAAAGTTAATCACCCTAGTTGGCACCTGAGGCAGAATGGCATTGTTGAATATAGGAAATAAGTTCAAGGAACTCAACTAACCTCCTTTTATAAGGATGATGAATAACAGTCACTGAGCGTGTGACAGACAGAGGGTCGAGGAGAGGATGACTGTTCTAGACAAAAATGTTAAACAAACCAATATATTTGCACAGTGTAAACACCACAGAATCATAAAACTAGCAGTTTTAAGATACTTTTTAAATTAGGCTGACATACAAGCTTATCAAAGCTTAAAACTGCAGCAAGATTTTGGGACACACTGTTTATGGACTGGAGATTTACTATGCTAGAATCTGTTCTAGTTGTGAATATGGAATAACTCCAGGTCTCCCCTGAAACTCATGCGAGATGGATTCATCAGAGAATGGATTAATTGATCTAATTAATTAATTAGAAGTACTGGAAGTACTTCTGTAGAGCTCAGTCCCATCTATAGCACAGTTCTGCAGCATACATTCAGTGTATAGTGAGTGATGTAGCAAGCTTCTTTTACATAAACATCAGATTTATCAGGCATCTGAATACCTAACAAAGATGCATGTTTACCAAAAACAGGAAGAAAAAAATCTCACAAAGTACTATATTCCCAATGAAGTAAAGAACTATGATTTTGTACTATATTTAAATGATTACATTGTTTTAAGTGATTATATTTTTACAAATAATCACATTTTAAATATAACCAAGACTCATTTTATAATTTAACTCCCTGTATTAGACTTGGCTACAACAGCAGTTGCACATAAACAGTATTAATGCAACATTAAGACTCAGTCTATAATGCTGAATTATTAATGATGTTGAAAATCAAGCAGCAAGTAAACAGAGACATATTAATTTCGAGTTCCATGAGAAACAGAGAGAATAACCATTAAAACTCAGGAAGGAAAGATTTGCAAAAAAATTTTTTAAAGATGGATAATTTTTGCCCCCCAAATGAAAGCAACTCAGTAAGAATCACTTGTGACAATTAACTAGTTATCATTTAATGAGCAGAAAAGAGTGAAATACATTATTCACATCCAGACATCAATTTCACTGTGTAAAAACTATTAAAAAAAATTTTTCCCTGGACAAAAAAAATAAATAGAAATTTCAGAGAGTTAGTAGAGGTCACTTTACAATGTAATTTTGAGCCCAATTTCTTCCCAGTGAAGCTGAAGTCTAAGGAGTAAATCCCTTAGTGGCTGCTCTTCTGGGAGAGAGGTATGTGAAATATTCTACTTCTGCATAAAACCTGCAACTGTGACAATCCAGCCTCTGATCTATTTGTGTCTTTTGGACACAAAAGAAAATACAGTAAACGGCCATTTACAAAGAATCCAAACAACTCTAAAGTAACTGGAATTCTTTTCTGCACTGGGACAAAGAGACAAATGATAAAGAGCAGGAAAGCCAAATCTCCCAGCCTTCTACAGCCACAATGCTTTACCATCATAATAAATGTTCATAATGATATTCTGGATTCCTTTGACATGTCTAAGTGCCTTAAAATTGCTATTGTTGAGTGTATTCAATCAGTATGTATGTCAGAAAGAAGAGGTGAGCCAGTCATATAGCAAGGGTGATGGACAGCTCATGCGCTTCACTGGCATCAATCAATAAAACATTTGTTAAGCACTTACAGTGTGTCAAGCATTGTGTCAAGCCTTGGAGATTCAAGTACAAAAGTGAAATAAGTCCCTGCCTTCTAGGAACTTAAATTCTAATGGGGGAGACAACACGAATATATGTAATCTCTAGATAATATATGTACATATGCTACCTAGAGCATATATTTGTATAATACATGTACATATATACTATGTGTATAGACATATAGATATATACATTACACACACATGTACGTAATTTATAAAAAATGAATACAAGGTGGTTTGGGAAAGAGACAACCCTGTCCTCCTGAATGGTTCTTGGTTCATCTATCAAGCCCTATAATTCAGTTTCTTTTGCTGAGTCACCATCCATGTGTTGCCAGGTTTCTGAAATATTCTCCCAACTCACACTCACACTGGCAGGGGGGTCCCCAGAGGGAAGCCACTGCATCTCCCTTCAGAGTTCTAAGGGTATCGCTAAGGAGTTGGGAGTGGTTTGTTTGTTTGTTTTGTCCTATGACTAAACACTTCACCAAAGGCATACCACACTTAATGACCATCAATTCAGCTAGACTTAATTTGTTTTTAAAAATATATTTTTACAACCTGACTTCAATGTGCTTTCCCAGCATTATTACACACCCTATATTCCCCTCCACAAACTCTTCCATCCAAACAAACTGTCCTTTTTGCTGCTTATGCCAGGCGACGTTCCATTACCTATCTCCATGCCTTCATTCATGCCTGAAAGGTTCTCTGTTCTCATCTCCACCTCTTAGAATCCCAAGTTACTTCCACACATTCTAAGACATAATTTGTAAGCAGATTTGACTGAACACTGGTAAATAAGTTTAAAAATATACATATTATATATAGAATATGTACACATAAAAACTATAGTAATAGTATAGTGATAGTAGAGCATAATGATAGCATAGTAAATATACTATAATAGTATAATGATAGTATAATAATATAATGATATTATGTGCATATATGTATATGTGTGTATGCCATTTCTTGAAGAGAAAATAGAGACGACTGACCAGTAGAAAATGTTGCTGTTCTGAATGTCCAAACACAATCTTTTAATTTCACGTAGTGATGCATCCTGGAGTCCTCTCGTAGATCCCACAGAACTACTGAGCCATGGATTGTTCCAGCAAATAGTAAAATTGCTTTAAAAGGGCTAAAACAGCAGCACATGACCTTTCAAGAAAACCAAGAAGAGAAACTACAATAATTGAACTGTTCTAAGACTACAATTACAAAGCAAATATAATCCTTGTTTTTTGCTGAGCTGCAGAAACTTTTGCAGTAGCCTCTTCCTACTTAATTGACTTCCCTTTTTCCACTCCCACCATTTTATTTATAGTAAGTACCTGTATTATAGAATATATTTTCAATCCTTGACAACTAAATACTAAACAAATTATGCTTAGGCAGGAGCTCTAGTTTGGAAGAAAAGGGGCAGAAGGAGCAAAATAATTTAAAAATTTCCCTTTTCTCAACCCAGATCTTGAGAAACAGTAAGCCCTTCAAAACCAATCCTCCCACACTTTTCTCATCTTCCTACAGCTTATATTTCTACCCCCTTCCATACTCTGCAAACTAGTGACACTGGTCTCTTTGCTATTTCTTGTAGAGGACTCTTTATCTTCTAACTCTAGACACGTTCAATGGTTATCCCCCATGCTTAGAATGCCCTCCACCTCAACTCTGCCTCCTGGCTTCTCTGGCTTCCTTCAAGTTACAGCTGAATTTTCACCTTCTACAGGAAACCTTTCCTGATTCCCTTAATTTTAATTCTTAATTCTCCCCTCTGTTGATTATTTCCAGTTTATCCCATATGCAGTTTGTTTATACGTAGTTGTTCATATATGGTCTCCCCTATTAGACAGTGAGCCCCCTGAGAACAGGGACTACCTTTTGCCTTTCTTAGCATTTTCAGCACCACTACAGTGTCTGACACATAGTAGATGCTTAATAAATGTTTCTTGACTAACTCTTGAAAACTATGTCTTAAACTGTATCCTGAGGATCTCCAAAGCAAATCTCTATCAAGAGATAGGCAAAAAAATTCTTAAGATAATAACCTTCAAGGGAAAATCCACAGCCCTCTTAATTGTAAGAGTAGCAAAAACACTCTAGTTCTTTTTTTATTTCCAAAAGGTCTGTATTGTTGTGTGTATATATATATATATTAACAATATATACAGTAGCCATAGTCCAAACCAAATAAGAGAATACAACAGATGGTTCTAAGACCATAGTCAGTTTGAAGAAAGTTCTTCTCAAGCGCAAAGCTCAAACCTTGCAAATAATCTTCTTTGACCATAGGAACTACCTTCAAACAACCACTTCTTCCAGTAATAGAACGAAGTAGGTTTTTCCGAGTCGAACCACTGAGTAGGGAGACCATCATTCTACTTCACTAATAAGTTGATGAAGCAGACAATCAGTGGGACACTGAACCATCTTTTATATCTCAGTGTCTAACAAAAAAACACCAACTTTTTCTCCCCCTCTCCTCTCACTTTTTAAAATGTTCTCTGATGCACTTTATTCCCACAATTTTTTCTTTCTTTTCTGCTCCCCTTTCTCATCTATCCATGTCCAAGTCAATCAATTACAAAGCCCTCCATCCTCATCCTTTTGGCCGATAAGTACACAGTTCCCAGACTGAAAAGATCAACCCTTAACTGTACCTTTGATTCACAGATTAAAACTTTCTGAGGACTGGAAGGCTGCCAAATATCCCATACACAGAGAATATATCTTTTATCCAGTATATCAGAGAATGGCTTTTCAGGTAACTCATGAACAGAAACTAAGGTCTGTCTCTGAATTTGAGAAACATGTAAAGAGGACACTTTTCGATCTAGGGAAGAAATGAAGGAAAAATTTCATTCAAGTGAAAAGTAGGTTGCTGAAATAAAATCCCTATTAAATCAAAGCTAACTTAAAATATCAAAATGGTGAAAAGCTCAATGTTTATGATGTAATTGTGGCTATTTAAGTATGGGTGAATAAACCATTCTGGGTTTTTTCCACTATGTTCAATCCAAATCAATTCAATAAACTAAATATTAAGTCATTAACTATATGCAAGGTACTTGGGTAGGCACTGGGGATAAAAAGAGCAAACCAAAATAATCCTTATGCAGAAGACATTTACATTCAAATACGTTCAATCATGAAATAAAACTTTTGAGAAGTGACTATCCACTATTTAATAGAACTATCACTTCAGTTGGTCTGAAATCTCTGTTCAAAAAGAGAAACTTCATTAGTTATAAATTGTTTCAGGTCAGGCATGTTTCTGACACTTCCATTTCCCAAAAATACATAGATAAGCCATCGTATGAGGTACTGTGCTTTCACAGAATCTTAGAGATGTCAGGTGACATGAAAGATTGTGTGGTATGATGTGGTACACGTGGTACAAAAGGAGTGCTTGAGGAACAGTCAGATTTGGGCTCCAATCTTATATCTGCTCTGAATTATCTCTATAGCAATGGCACTTCACACCTTGGTCTCAGTTTCCTAATCTGTAAAATGAAAGGATTGTTTCAGATGATCCCCAATCTAATAATTCCACAAATTTCCCCTTGAAATTAGGGCTTTCTTAAAGCATTTCTCCTGTTTATGAACATCAATTCTGTATAATAAGAAAAATAATATAATCCACATTTTTATTTTGCTTCATGCCTAAACTGCTTAATAAATGTTTTATCTAATCTAATTAGTAGAACATTTTAAAGCCTGCAAAGCACTTTACATTTGAATATTATATTGTTATAAATAAGTTTTACATGTTTTGTAGTGATAATTTGGCATACCGCTAGCAGCTGTTGTAGGTCTAAGTTTCACAAATATATAGAAGGCTACAGAAAACCAGTGCTTCAGAAACTTTCTGTTGAATCTGGAGTTTAATGCCATGCTGGTGACCAATTCAGTCTATGAAAGGACATTCTTGATTCAAAGAATCATAAAATCTCAAGTGATATAAAAGACCTTAGAGATAGTCTACTCTTACTTGCTTCTGAACGTCTGCATTCAGTGTCCCCTCTGTAAAATTCCTAAGAGGTGGGTGTTACTCAGTCTTAGTTTGAAAATGACTGTGGCTTTGGGTGAACTGTTACCTTACCTCTGGGGGAGTTGTAATTATTAAGAAAAACCTTCCTCATATGGAGCAAAAATCTACCTTTCATCAGTTGTTATTAGTTCTGCCTTCTGGAGTTATACAGGATAAATTGAATCCCTTTTTCCATATAACAGCCTTTCAAATACTTGAAGCCAGCTATCAAATGTCCTCCTCTGGCACCACTCAAGTCATCTGTTCTCCAAACCTAAACTATATCACTGACTGATCGTATCGCTTAAGATTTTTAGATGAAGAACACACAATAAAGTCTTACTTTGTAGGAATGGTAGGTTAGTGTTCATCTGGGCACAGCTTTCACTAATATTAAGGGCATTTTCTTGAGACCTGAGATTCCAATTGGGTTCGGTTGCAGCACGATCTTCCTCAAGTAATACAGCAATCACCTGTTCAACACAAAGAATGAAGTCTCAAATATGGAAGTTTTACATTTGTTGACTTTTCCTTGAAAATTATTTCACATTTTTCCACCCTGAAAATTTGTTGGTTAAAATCATATTTCAATAGTTAAATCAGTCCAATAGTTTAAAAAAGTTAATTTTCTGCTTTTTCTGGAGAGTAGCTGAAATTGATTTAAAATGACTGCAACATTATAACCACCTCTATAGGCCATTTAAATTATTTTGTTACAGGAGAATTTGCTGTGATTAATATAGCATTTGCTTTGTAGCACTCTAATGTACTTGACTTGTATTGTCATATACTATTACAGTAATCACCCTATGTGGCTTATCTTCCTACTTTACTGTTAGCTCCATTAAGAGCAGGAATAATCTTACTCCAACTGAATATTGTCCCCAATGCCTAACACAGGGCTCTCCATGTAGTACACAGTCAATATTTGTTGAATTTTATTGAATTGCTAAAAATAACATTTCTAGTTTGAAATAGCTGGAAAGGAAACAGGGTCCTGTCTGCTCTGAAGCAAACTAGAAGGTATAAAAATATGTGTCATGCACTCTCTATAATTAATATCTGAGTATGACAAGTGCTATATTTTCACATCATTGTTTTAGAGATATTTAATCATACACACAGGCATCATTTAAATAGAAAATTTGAGATGTGATAATTACATATTAACTTATCAGTGATCATTCCACAACAGCACATTTGCCTCCGTGGATCATATGCACTGAGAAATGACCATTCTCTCTTCAGATCTCCCAGAGCACTTAAGTTATACCCCTCTTAAGGATTTACCATGTGTTTTACTACAGTTTTAGAATATGTGTCTTATTCTCCTATGAGACTATAAGCTTCTATGATTAGGCACCATATCTTATTTATTTAATCTGTTGGTTAAAAAACATACAACAAAGTCCACCTTCAAAGAAATAGTGAGTTAGACTATAAGCTAAGCTCCATGTGGTTAGACACCATGTCTGACTTTGTATCTTTACCATTCCCTAAAATGGTGGTCAAAACACAACAGACATTTAACAACTTTCGGTATCCTAGGTAACTCTCTAAGACCATAAGTTGCAGAACAGTTGCTGGTCTACACTGTTAAAGGGAGTGCCCTCACTGAGTGTTCATTCACTCAGTTGTGTCCAACTCTTTGTGGCCCCATGGACGATAGCGCACTAGGCCCTTCTATCATCCACTATCTCCCAAAATCTGTCCAAGCTCATGTTCATTGCTTCCATGACACCATCTATCCATCTTATCCTCTGCCATCCCCTCCTCCTTTTGCTTTCAATCTTTTCCAACATCAGGATCTTTTCCAATTAATTTTGTCTTCCCATCACGTGGCAAAGTATTTAAACTTCAGCTTCAGTATCTGTCCTTCCAATAAGTAGTCTGAATTGATTTCTTTAAATATTGACTGATTTGATCTCCTTGCTGTCCAAGGGACCCTCAAAAGTCTTCTCCTGCACCACAATTCAAAAGCATTGATTCTGTGGCATTCAGCTTTCTTTATAATCCAACTCTCACAGCCATACATTACTATTGGAAAAACCATACCATCTGGACCTTTGTTGGTGATGTCTCTGCTTTTTAGTATGCTGTCCAGATCTGCCATAGCTTTCCTTCCAAGGAGCAAGTGTCTTTTAATTTCATGGCTGTAGTTGCTGTCTTTGAGCCTGAGAATATAGAGTCTGGCACTGCTTCCTTTTCTTCTCCCTCTATTTGCCAGGAAGTGATGCGACCAGTTGCTGTGATCTTAGTTTTTCAAAACAGCTTTAACACCCTCCTCTTTCACACTTATCAAGAGGCTTCTTAATTCTTCTTCACTTTCTGCCATCAGAATGGTATCACTGCATCACTGAGATTGTTGACATTTCTCTCAGCAACCTTAATTCCAGCTTTCGATTCATCCAGCCTGGCATTTCTCATGATGTGCTCTGCATATAAGTTAAATAAATAAGGTGACAATTATGCAGCCTTCTTATATGCCTTTCTCATCTTAAACCAATCGGTCGTTCCACATTCAGTTCTAACTATTGCTTCTTGACTGGCACACAGGTTCCTCAAGAAACAAGCAAAAGGATCTGGTACTCCCATCTCTTTGAAGATTCCCTACATTTTCTTGTGATCCACACAGTCAAAGGCTTTAGTTTAGTCAATGAAGCAGAAGTAGATGTTTTTTTTTCTGGAACTCCCTTGCTTTCTCCATAATCCAGTGAATGTTGGCAATTTGATCTCTAGTTTCTCTGCCTCTTCAAAAACCAACCTATATTTCTGGTAATTCTCAGTTCACATATTGCTGAAGCCTAGCTTACAGAATCGAATAACCTTCCTGGCATGTGAAATGAGTGCAATTGTTTGGTAATTTGAACATTCTTTGGCATTGCCCTTCTTTAGGACTGGGATATTAAACTGATCTTTTCCAATCCAGTGGCCACTGTTATATTTTCCAAATCTGCTGGCATATTGAATGCAGCACTTTAAAAGCATCATCATTTAAAATTTTAAATAGCAATGCTTCCTAACTTCATTCTCCAGGAAGTCTGGCTCTAGATCAGTAACCACATCATCATGGTTATCAGTGATGTTAAGATCTTTCTTGTATAGTTCTATATATATTCTTGCCACCTCTTTTTTTTAAATAATATTTTCTTTTTCCCCAATTACATGTAAATACACTTTTTTACATTCATTTAAAATTTTTTTTGAGTTCTATATTCTTTCTCTCTCTGAAACAGTAAGCAATTTGATATAGGTTATACATGTACAATACAATCATGCAAAACATCTTTCCACATTGGCCACATTCTGAAAGAAGACACAAACCAAAAGAAAAATAATAACTATGAGAAAAATAAAGTGAAAAATAGTATGCTTCATTCTGTATTAAGACCCCATCAGTTCTCTCGAAGTGTATAGCATTTTTCATCATGAGTCCTTTGGAATCAGCCACCTCTTCTTAATCTCCTCCTTCGATTTAGTCCCTACCATACTTGTCTTTTATCATGCCCATTTTTGTATGAAATGTTTCCTTGATATCTCTAATTTTCTTGAAGAGATTAAATCTTTTCTTTCTCATTCTATTGTTTTCTTCTATTTGTTTGCAATACTCATTTAAGAAAACCTTATCTCTCCTTGCTATTCTCTGGAATTCTGCATTCAGTTGAGTATGTCATTCCCTTTCTCCTTTTCCTTTCACTTTCCTTCTTTCCTCAGCTATTTGTAAAGCCTCATCAGATAGCCATTTTACTTCTTTGCTCTTCTTTTTCTTTGGGATGTTTTTTATGACCTAAATAAAATTCCTTATGAATATGTGGTGGAAGTGACGAATAGATTTAAGGAATTAGATCTAGTAGATAAGAGTACCTGAAGAACTATGGACAGAGCTTTGCAATATTGTACAGGATGCAGTGACAAAAAACATCCCAAATAAATTCAAGAAATGGAAGCAGTGTCAGATTTTATATTCTTCAGTTCAAAGACCATTGCAGATGGCAACTGTAACCATGCAATTAAAAGACTCTTGCTCCTTGGAAATGGCAAATCTGCAGAGCGTATTAAAAAGTAGAGACATCACCTTGCTGACAAAGGCACTGACAGTCAAAGCTATGGTTTTTCTGGCAGTCATGTATGCCTGTAAGAGTTGGACTACAAGGAAGGTTGAGCACTACAGAACAGATGCTTTCAAACTGTGGTGCTAGAGATTTCTGAGAGCTCCTTGGTCCGCAAGGAGATCAATCAGTCAACATTTGAAGAAATCAATTTAGACTACTTATGGGAAGGACAGATACTGAAACTGAAGCTTGAATACTTTGACCACATAATGAGAAGACAAGATTCACTGAAAAAGACCCTGATGTTTGGAAACAGTGAACACAAAAGGAGAAGGATAAGATGAATAGATGGTGTCATACCTGCAGATGAAAGCTCCCATACGTGTTGTCTCTCCATTAGCATTTTAGCTCCTAGAAAGGAGCTTTCCTAAAGCTAAGCCTGTCTTTCCTAATTGTACTCCCAGGGTTTTGCATATGGTATGAGTGTAATTAACATTTTTCATTCATTCAATGGTTTAGGAATATTAATCTGGCAACAATAGGAGAATGGACTGGAAAAGAAAAATCTCAGAATCAAAAAGTCCTGTTAGAAGACTGATTCAGTAATTTAACTGAGAAATGGTAAGTGAAAAGGAAAGGATGAATCTGAGAGACATCTGAGGAAAAAAAACTGACATGATTTAGTGATGGAATGGATGTAGGAGATAAAGAACAAAGAGGTAAGACCAAATACTCTGCCTCCAACATGACCTATTATGTTTTGACCTTGTCATCTACACCTTTCTCCTTCAATATCCTGCTATAACCCATCTGATCTCTTCTGCTCATCCAAGTCGCAATATTATTTTCTCCCTGACCTCCCCAAAAAGGTAAATAGGACCTGGTATAACCAAAAAACACATATCAAAACATATAAAATCTTCAAAATGAATATATGAAAAAATCCTTTATGATAATGGTGCTACATCATTGAAATTAAGTGTGCTCTATTAGTGGTTACTTTATTTTATGTGGTTAGATCTGGTAGAAGATTCCACCATACTTTATCCAAATACCCATAACTATAAGGCATAAAATAATAAAGCATTTCTGTCTTATTTTTCTTTCATTGTTTTGTTTAGTTGCTATAAATAATGCACTATGCTATATGTAAGCCTAACATTTTTGTTTATGTTAACTTCAGAACATACCAAACAAATAACAACAGATTGTCTCTTTGCCATTTTACTTTCTTGTAAACTACATACAAAATGTAGAGCAACTTGAATGGTGTCACATATGCATAAATATTTAATATATATTATTTTGATCATTATTTTTCTTATGGTTTGTCTTAGGCAGCATAAGCATTTGTAGAACATTGACTATACCTGACAAGCAGCCCGGAGAAAATTAGCTAACCTTGGTGTGTCAATCTTTGTTACGTATGTACCATCAGACATATCTCTGCTGTTTTTAGTACCTAAAAAAAATTAGGTTACACTAATTATTATTACAGTTATTATAATTAGTATTATTTCTATACCACAAAATGATAAGAACAATCTATAAGAGGCATATTGTGATTTAAAAGATTTTAATAACTAAAACTTACAGCTTGAAGGTCTGTAAAATTTTGGGCATTTAGGAGGTACAGTGGACAAAGTGCCGGGCCTAGAGTCAAGAAGATTCATCCTCCCTAGCTCAAATCTGGCATCAGACACTTATTAGCTGTGTGACCCTGGGCAGGTCACTTAACCCTGTTTGCCTCAGTTTTCTCATCTGTCAAATAAGCTGGAGAAGGAAACGGCAAACCACTCTAGTATCTTTTTCAAGAAAACCCCAAATGGGTTCACAAAGAGTCAGGAACAACTGAAAACGACTGAACAACCATGACAACAATAACAACTACAACAAAGTAACCAAAAAGCTATCAGGAAATAGGTTATAAATTTCTAAATCCGCTAATGACATATTATGCATATTTTCCTTCAGTTTCTGCAGATGTATTTCTTTAACCAGACCTGTGATTTCATTGGTATAGGCAACTCCCGTGAGGAAACTTCCTCATCAGTGCAGATCAGAAGTCCCGCCTCTGAGATAACGGAATTGCTCAGGGTCACAAAGCCAGAAGATCTCAGGCGCAGGGCTTAAACATAGGTCTTCATGACTTTGAAGCTGGTTATCTATCCACTACCCAATGTTGCCTCTCCATACATATACCCCATGCTAATTCTTGCATATGTGCCTTTGCTCATATCAGTATCAACATCATTCTCGACTAAGGTGGATGATGTCCCATATAGAGATAAGGTAACCCTAGGGTTGGCATAGCAGACTGGGCATCTGACGTCTGATGGGCCATCTAGTTAAATTCAAAGAAGCTCATGACCAGAAGGTCACTGGGGGAGCCTGTTTGGCCACAGCAACTTGTTAAACTATATACTGAGGCACAGGGGGGTTGTGACATACACCAGTAAATGGAGTACGAACACACATATCAAATTACAGATCCCTGAAGTACTAAAGTATAGTAATAATATAGACAGCATGCATATAACACTTCACAGCTTACAAAGTCTATTATCTTATTTGATCATCACACAAGATCTGTGTGAGTTAATGCAGGTATGATTTACCCATTAGTATAGTAAATAAATTAAGACAAAGAAAAGTAAAGTGACTTGTCTGTCATCACACAGCTACTAAGTCGAAGGATTAAAATTCAAACCCAGATCTCCTGGGCTCCAAATCGGGTGCTATTTTGTATGACTGAAAATTTAATTTTTGTAAATTTAATTCTATTTTAAATGTGCTAAGGAAGCTAATTATTTAAAGATGCCTATAGTGATTCCTTTTACAAAATAAAGAGTTACTATTAATTTATGTATTTCATAAATTTATGTGTTTGTATATTACCTTTCAGAAATTAGCTCTCATCTTTATAAGGGAGGAAAGCGATAATTCCCTTCCCTCGCAGGAACATGTTGAGGAGTTAAAAGTGAGTAAGCAATTTCAATTATATCTGCATAATAAGGATCAGCACCTAGCATAATGCCAGGAACTCTGAGGCTTTAATGGATATCGACTGATCTGATCTTAAAATACCACTGAAAATGAAATAACTGGCACAAGGGAGTATAGCTGTGCCCAGTTTGTGACGAGGCTATGTTCCAAAAGCTCATTTTTAAGTTGGCTTGTGGAAGGCAATGTGACAAAGTGGGAAGAGCATTGAGCTGTTTTAGTTTCATTTCCTTGACACACTAGCCATATGACCTTGGACAGGTCACAACTTCTCAAAGCCTCAAAATCTCCATCTACAAAACAGATATAATACCTGGTCTGCTTTTTGACACGAGTATGTAACGATAAAATGAGATAACATAGGGCCAAGTGCTTTTAAAAGCTGTGTAAATCTAAGACACACATCTACAATCATAGGAACAAGAAATTAATGATTTTTCATACCCTCTCATTTCTATACATAATATACTCCCCAAAATTTGCATACTATTGGATTCCATTTTAAATTCACTAGAGGTGGTATCTACTAAGCTTGGAATATCTTCTCTCCCTCATTACCTCTTGAATTCCTACCCAGTTTTTAAATTCCAAGGTAAATGTTACCTTTTCCCATGAAATAGGCTCTGATTCCCCTGGCGGACAGCCACCACCTCCCCAGTCAGACATCACATTAGCACTTTGTTTTCCAACTACTGCACTTATCTTTAAATGCTGTATACTTCAATCGTGTAATTTTGTATCCTATCCCCAATTCCAGCCCATCTCTAAGCTCTGTGAGGGCAAGGACTATTGTCTGAGCTAAACGCTACATCTTCTCCAGCAGCTAATGGGATGCTCTGAACTTCAGGAATCTGGGACTCTGTCAATGTGTATGCTCTTTCTATCAATGCACATCAAGACCCTATGCTGCTTGACAGCTGGTCTTCGGAGTTGCTGTAGCCAAAAAAGTCATTATCCCGCAGCGAATTTGAGGATAAGTCTCTCCAGACTAACCTAAGCCAGTTCTCAGACAACAGACATATAGTTTGTCACGGAACCCATGCTTGAATCCTGTTCAGGTCTGCATACTGACAATGCTTAACAATACAGTAGATGTTTAACAAATGTTTGTGGCAGGGAAGGAGGGAACTTGGACTACACAGAAGCAATGTTATAAATAAGTTTCAGGGTAGCTCACAAAACTCTGTGTAACTTCTATTTATATCAATTCTTTAAGGATCTGTGATTTTATGAACCTGGGTCCTTCCAACCTCTCCTGTAGCGTAGCATCTATTCAACAGTTGCTATTGCCAAAAAATGTTTGATCCTACAATCAACCTGGTGATTGTCTCCCTAAACTTAACTAGCCTGGTCCTCAGCAGACATATGGTCCAATACTAAGCTCATACCTGAAGCCTTTGCAGATTGTTAGCAGCTGCCAAGAGTTTTTTCTTAGCTGTTTTCTAGAACACAGGGTCACCTACCTAAATACCATAAATAGGCATAAGAGAAAGATTTGAGGGGAAGATTCAACTCATACTATACCTAAAATAGTACTAAACAGCTGTTCTGATCCCAGAGTGCTATTAAATCCTCTTAGCCGTAAATCCATCAGGAAAAGGTTGAGGAGTCCTTTTGACAGCTGGGACACTTCCTGTGAAAGCCTTGGAGGGGTAGTGGATTGACTGTAAGCATGTATGTACATGTAATATATACCTCATGGAAGGCCTACACTCAACTTCTACTTAAAAAGGTTGGCCAGGGAAAATGATTATTCACTGGCTTGAACAACAGCCCAGTGCATGAAGTCCTTCCTACACAGGCATTGATTACATAGATCCCAAAATGTCTCAGTGGGCATATGTTAACTAAACAAAAATTTTGCTCTCCAAATAAAAAGTCAACCCTGTTTCTCCTCATTCACTTTAAGTACACTATATGTACCCCTATCTCCATGAAGTATCATGTCTGAAATTGAGAGGGCCACAATCATAGGAAAGACTCATAGTTGAAAAGATTGTTTATTACAAATGCATAGAAATACATTGTTAGAACATATTTTGAATGGCCATTACTTAACTATAGTCATGATATTTTATAAATAATTTTATAAAATTTTCAAAGTTAAAATGAATAACTTAAAATAGAAACATGATTTATTCCTTTAAAACAATAAAGAACATTTTCCATGCCAGCAACGTAACAACTATCTGAAAGACATACATTAGAGGGAGGGAAAAGGGACATTAAAAAAATAAATGTGAAGTAACTCAAGGCTTTTACATAACTAAAAAATTACTTACCTCCCGATACAATAGTACTTTCACCAGGATGCTGGGTCCATACTTCATGGGTTTCTATTTCATCAGTTTGAACATCTCTTTCAACATTGTCTTCATTATACTGAACATATGCCTTAAATACAAAGACAAGCTACAATTATTATTTTAAATATTATGGCGATTCCTTATATTTGTCATGATTAGTATGGATTCTCCCTCCACTCATGCATATGCAGCTCTCCACACCTCAACAGACAGCCTCTGTGATTGCTGTCCCAAAAAACATCCATGCCCGGTTTCCAGTGTTCTGGTGATAAACCTTCCTAAACTTAACAAAATCAGTCTTCAAATAAAAGATATATAGACCCATATTAGAAGCCATTACAACAAAGTAGGAACTGTCAGTGGTTCTGCTACACTGTGGCTTGGTTTTCAAGGTAGGGTAAGATCCTCATGTAGCACAGTCTCAAGGTCCTTCACCATTCTGGGTGCCCTTCCTCTACACAATCAATTTTTTTTCTAATTCTAATTCTAGCTAATCAATTTTTTCCCTCAAATGTAGCAACAAATCAGAATACTCCTATAATCTGGCCAGGACAGAGTAAAATGGTATTATTATATCCACAGTTCAGGACACTTTGCCTCTCTTAATGCAGCCTAACATTGTCTTGGCTACCACAACATTCTGGTGACTCATAGTATGCAATCTATTAAAACTCCTAGATGCTTTTCAGAAACATTGCTCCCTATGGCATAGATGATCCATTCTGTACTTGTGAAGTTGATTTTTAGAACACAACTGTAAGACTTTGTATTTATCTCTATCAAATTTCATCCAATAATATTAGGGCAGACAAAGGAATCTGGGTCTCCAAGATTGCTTCCATAACAAAATAAGGCATTCAATGAGGACTTTAGTGGAAGGGGCTGATTTCTGAAAAGCTGATACATCGTGCTTCCTATAGTGCTCAGGAAGCTAGTTTTTTTTTTTTTAAGCAGTGCAGCTATAGATACAGATATACATAACCTCATATATATTATATGTCTAGCCAAAGTACCTACTAATCATGACAGGGGGAAAAAATCCAGGTAAAGTTTCCATATGCCTTACCCATCTGAAAATTTTGTTTTACTCAATTGTCAGTCATATTAATGAAAGTCGTTTTATAACTTTAAAATAAAAATTTTATTCTCAAGATTATCTGGAACTTGTGTGCATTACTGCTTTAGCAAACATTTTACCTAAAGCAAAATATGTAATTTTTTGTTATTCTACAAAGTATGTCCCTTAACAAAGCTATCATTTTAGAGTTTATAAAAACAAGATTCAGTTTAAGGTTCAAGAAAAAAGGAGTAAGAAGGCTGAATAATTTATTTTCTTAAGATCAAACACTGGGATGATAATTGTCGATATGTTACAGTTCATACGGTTATTTCAATTCAGTTCAGTAAGCATGCATGGTTCTGTTTTTGTGTCATCAGTGCCTTACTCAGAGCAGACACTTTACATTAAATAACCATTAAATGACAGTCACTCTTTGACCAAAATCCTATCCTAATGCTTCATGGTGGTGTGAAGATAATATTGGCTCCTCAAATGCTACAGCAGGGGAGCAGAAAATCTGGCAAGTCCTAACAAGCAGGGAAGGCCCCACTGTGGTCCCTGAAAGGGATTGACACAAGGCATGTATCACCCAAAGACTTAGCTGATTCAAGTGTTCATAATCAGAAGGTCAGCTACCAGACACAGCAGCTCATGAAGAACCACCTACTAAGGTGTGCGTGGAGAACAATACACATCAGCTGAGGAAGTACCCACATGGATGAAATCATAGCTCTTTTAAAGTTTAAAGACATACTAGAGACCATGGCTAACACAAGAGAAAGCGATGCCATAATTCTTGCCCTCAGAAAGCATATATTCTAATTGAGAAGATGAGAAATGCACACATGAAGTAACTGAGGAATTAGAAGAATAATTAGAGATAGAAGGCAGTGGTAATGTTAGAGAACACTACTGATAAGGGAGCTGCCAGGGTAGGCTTCCAAAGGGGTGGTAGGATTTAAAGGGCAGGGAGAACCAAGATAGGTAGAAAGGAAAGGAAAGGCATCTGAGGGAGGATGGAATGAACATGTCACATGGAGTACAGTTAAGAAATTGGTGTGCCTCAAGCTAAGGATGGTGCTAAGTTGTGGGAGATGTGCTTAGACAGGCAGAAAGAGCCCAGACTGTGGATGCTCTTGAATTACATTTACTACACAGTTATTAAGTATAAAGTGGATCCTTATGACAGGACGGGCACTGTGACGTATACATAGAGCATACTCTATGAGCATGGCAAAAAGAGTGATGGGCTGGAAGTGGGACCCAGGTTTGAGTCCCAGCCCCACCACTTACTTGTATATCCTCAGATAAGACATTTCAATTCTCTGGGACTCACTTTCTTTATTTATAAAATTACGGAGTTAAGAGTAGAAAACCTCTAATATCCCTTCCAGCTCTAAGTCTATGATTCTATGAAATAAGTTTTTAAACTATTATGATTTTGAGCATTGCCACTATTCTAGCTTAACTGAAAGCCCAGCGGAGTGTATTCAAACCCAACAGTTGTGTTTCACGTGAAATGGAATGTAGAAGAAGAAAAAAAAAACAAACCAGTACAACAAAAGGGGCGAGAGAACTGCATTAATCATACTTAATAATTAGAATGTCAACAAAGGACAATCGATGACCTAGAACTCTCTCTCTCAGTGTTTCTAGACAACAGAACCATTCTAGGGGAGGACCAAAAAAATCTTCCCCATGGGAAGTAGCACCTAAAGATCCTAGAAAGGTGAAGGAGGGAGTGAACACTAGACATGAGGGAGAGCCTGTGTAAAGCCAAAAAAGGGAGACATCAAAAGCCAATGTGAAGAAGCAAGAAATAAACCAGTATGGCTGGAACGTAGAATGCACCAAATGGCTATGGAAAGCTGAAAGACAGGTTGTGAATTCAAGGCTGAGGAGTTTATGTTTTATCCAAGAGGCAACAGAAATCAACTGAATATTCTTGGGTAGGAGTGACATGATGAGAACTGAGCTTTAAGATTATGTTGGCAGCCATATGGACAATGGACTAGATAAGGGAGAGACCAGAAAGAAGAAAACCAAGTAAGAGGCTAACTACAGTGGTTTAGGCAAGAGATGATCAGGGTCTGAAATAAGGTACTGATGATGTGAATGAAAAGAAAGGGTTAGACGTGGAAAATGTTACGTCAAGATTCAACAAAACCAGATAACCAAAGGTTTACAAAGAACTTTCCTTACAACAATCCTTTGAAGTAAAAGGCACAAGCTTTATTATCCCCATTTTACAGATGAAGAACCTTAGGCTCTGAGAGGTTCAGTTTGACAGGCTCCAAGTCCCAGTGGCTGATATGGGATTCAAAACCAGTTCTCTCCAGAAAGAACTGTAACACTGTACTGTAACACTGCACTGTAACACTGCTGCCTCTTAGACTAATGGTTCATTGACAAGCATTTGGTTTCTAATCAGGAAATGTTTGTGGAAAACATGTCAGTAGCTTTCTACTCAATCCATTATGGACTTTATCAGTCATAAAGGCATTTAAACTCTTCTTGAACCTGTTTATTGACCTCTTGAGGTTGAGTTTTGTATATGTGATATTAAAAAAAATACTTTTAATTTTCTCAAATTCACAGTTCTTCAAGGAAGAAACTGGTCCCTATTCCTGCTTTTCTGCTCTGTTATAATGAGGTAAATTTATTTTTAATTCAGCCTTTTAATTTCATAAGCCACAGACTTCTAACAAAACATTCATAGATGCACATATTGTGGTAACAAAGAACTGGTAACACAGGGAGTAATGTTTCCAAAATTCCAGCTCTATTCCTCTAATAGAGGAATGGCTGAATAAAATGTGGCATAAGAAAGTAGACAATATTATTATAAACTAAGAAATAATGAATATGAGGAATTAAGAGAAACACAAAAGATATATATGAAATGATATAGAATGAAAAAAGCAGAATCAGGAATGCCATAGATATAATGACTACAATAATACTCTCTCCTCATTTTTACCTCACAGAAGCCTTCACATCCTTCAGGAAGCAGCTAAAGCATCATGTATTTATTTCATATTATATGTATATACACACACATGTGACATATGTGTGTATACACATACACATAGATGTGTGTATATATAAAATTCTGTACATTATTTCATATTATATGTATATACACACATGTGACATATATGTATATACACATATACATATATGTGTGTGTGTATAAAATTCTGTACATACTTTTATAGGTATATGTTGTCTCCTTAAAAGCAAGGATTGTTTCTTTTTTTGTCTTTGAATCCCCACTGCCTATCTAGCACAGTGCCTGACACTTAATCAATGCTTGTTGACTGATAGTTTGGTTGATTGTTTGACTGAGAAGAACACTAAGAGAAAGAGGAACTCAAAGTAACTGTAAAAACCAATACATGTCCTAAAGAAAACGTCAGGAAACAAACTTTCCTCTTCTGAGCTAAAAACAAAACAAAACAAAAAGCAGGGGGGCAGAATGTTGCAGACATTAATATTATATTATATTTACTGTTATAATTATCAGACATTATTAATGTAGTAGTAGTTTTTGAAGAACTCTTTCTTTGTTACAATGAGGAAAAGGGGAAAATGGAGAAGACTCATCCAAAAATTACTATAAAATTCAGAAACATAAGGCACAAATAAAGCTTATTTTTGAAAAAATTATGCACTCACCTGCTTAGTGTTTCTTTTACCAAAGTTTCTTATGTACATATCATACTCATTTACTGGTGGCAGATCCAAGAGAGAAAAACTAAATGAAAAATCCAAGTCAATCAGTCGAAGCAACTTTGCGCTGCGTGTCCTTTAAAATGAAATAGACAACAGAACACAAAATTAAGAAGCATAGTCTAAGTATTCATGATCCTTTAATGTTTACCTTAATATTTACCTTGATATTTACCTTAAATATTTACCTTAATATTTACCTTAACATTTACCTTAACATTTACCTTAATATTTCTACACCTCAACTATTTACAAGACATAGAATTACTCCAGTATCTCAGATGCTGCCCCTCATCAAACTTATCACCTCCCTCCACAGCTGCTATTCTTTTACCTTACTTCTCAATCCCATCCATACCTCTTTTATTCTTAGGAGATAAGCTAAACTCTTTAGTGAGAAGATGAGAACATCTGGAGAGAATTTTCTCAGTTTTTTTCATCTTCATCTAAAAAATCCTGTGGATCTTCTCGTGTTCCTTTCCTCCTGTCTCAGAAGAACTGTTCCTTATTTTCAAGGCTAAACTTTACATTCATGTTCTTTATCACATCTTTTCCAACTTTGGGACTTTGGCTCCATCAATAACCCACCCCTTTCTCTTGTAGCTTCAATCTCCCTCTTTCCACTTGCTCTTCACCCTTTGCCTAAAAATATAATCAGATCTCTCTTTTTTAAAAAATAACAAAAAAGGGGGAAAAAAGCCTGTCCTTGATCCTAACACCCTTAGGCTACTGCCTCATTTCTCACCTTCCTTTCACTAATAAACTTTAAGAGCCATTCATGTTGCTTCACTGGTATCCAATGACTCTTTAACCCCTTTTGACCTGACTTTTGCTCAATCCTTCTATTGGACCTGCTCTCCAAAGTTACCAATGACTCCTATTCCACAAATAAAAGGCCTTTATTATCTGAAGATCTCAATCCCCTTGACCCCTCAGTAATATTTGGCACTGTTAACTTCCTCCTCCTTGAAACTCTCTCGGCTCTCTTCTACATTATCCCAGTTATACTACGTCACAGAGAGAATTTTACAACAGAAGGGATCTTAAATATCATATAATCCAGCCTTTTCATGGTCTAATTAAATAAACTAAGGCCCAAAGATGTTTAAAAAAACCTTACCTAAATTCAGTTAGTTAGTGGCATGACTGGAATTGAAAGAACCCAGTTCCTTCATACCACCTCATGCTGCCTCAGATTACTTTCCCTAAATGTGGACATTTCCCAAGGTTTAATCCTCAGCCTTTCTTTCTCACTCTCTTGCTTACTCCCTCCTGCCCCATGATTTCAACCTCTACAACAATGACTCCCAAATGAATACCCACATATATCCCCAACCTCTCCCTACACAGCCAGGTCCCTATTTCCAACTGCCTGGTGGACAGTCCTACCTAAGTGTTCCATGAGGCATTTAACACAAAGCCCTGGCACATAGTAGGCACTTAATGTTTTCTAAAAACAAAATCTTTTGCTGCTAGCTACCCTACATGTGCCCCCCCCACACAAGAAACCAGTTCCTCCCTGACTTCCTTATTTCTATTAATTGTACTGACCATTTTCTCAGTTACCCAAGCTTATAACCTTTGAATCATCTTTGGGAGATGTCCAAAGATTCTCCTTTCTTTGATCTGCTAATTCTTCCTTGGAAATGTCTCTTCCCTTCCATTGCCGTGACCATCATCCTAACATAGGTCCTTACTTACCTTAACCTGGAACTACTTCAATAGTCTCTTAGCTAGTCTGCCTGCTTCCAGCCTTTCCCCCTCCAATCCATGCTGCATTCCTTTCCCTATGGGAACCCAGGAAACCACAGAGAGAAGGATGTGTCAGTGGCAACTAGTTTGGATATCTACTAGGTAATGTTCTGAGATCTCCTGAAAGATCTCAAACTATTGGGTGGGACCTTGGAGTGATGACAAAGTTTCATTGATATATCAGAATATTTATTTTATTTTTGCATTTAACTTGGCATTAAAGTAGCTTAATAATTGCACTGTATAAACTACATTTCTATATTGTATTGTTTTTTATATATATTACATGTACTGTCTATTGTATTTTCTTTCTTGTGTAAGATGGAATTTTTAAACAAATTGTAATACATACTATTACCAACAAAAGGAGTAACATCAAAAAAATTCAGAATTTCACAATGCTTGGCTCCTACATGTGATCCCAAATGTACTTCTGCCTCGTAAAGAAAATATTTTCTTTATTGTTTCCCAATTCTCCTAAGAGGAAGGTGTAGATACCCATTCCAATTTATTCTCATTTAATAAGATTTATATTAGTTGCTTACATATATACACACATGTGTGTATGTATATACACACACATATATATGTATACATAAATAGCCAAGATATAAGGCACTGGAGTTCCTCCCTCAGGTCTCTGACCCTGAATCATCATGGGCAACAAAGAGGCTGGAAAGCCATGCTCAACTGAATCAAGGTTGCATCCTTGTTGAGGATCCTTTCAATGCTGTGAATGTTCTCCCCTACTATGACTAAGTCAAAGTCCTTTTGTTAATGTTAGATGGATAAACAAATATCTCATTCAATTTCCATCTCACCCTTGAGTTACCATACTGAGTCAGAGATGGCCTACAGACATAACACTTAAAATCCAGCTGAATGACTACACTGTGGTTCTACTTACTGCAAATGTCTACATAATGGTTCATTTCCTGATTATTTAGATGATCAGGTTGAATAGAACATCTTGGTTAAAAATAGACAGGCAGTTTTATTTTATAAGAGTCACTATCATAATGGGAGCCATACTATTATGATGTTCTCACATTTGTCAAATCATATTTTCCTGTATGACTAAGGATTGTTTGGACACATGCTTTTTAGGAATGTACTATAAAGAGACTCAGATAAGGAGAAAAAATCATTTATTTTAGAAGATCTTGATGATGTGATCCACATTCTCATTTTGAACCCCTCACAAGAGTCAGGTAATTGTCAGTTTATTCATGTTCCTCTGAACGTTCACCTTCAAAAGGCACCCTCCTCCAAGAGGAGGTCTTTGAAAAAAGACCATACTCTAATTTAACACAGTATAATTTGCATTTGGAAAAGAATAATTACAGAACAACAACAGCATGATTTTATAGACAATATAATGCAAACTACATATCAGGTTATCAGTAGTAAGTGATTAAGTATTAAAAATATGACAAAAATGAATGATGGAAGTTTGGTAAAAATCCATAATGACATAAATAAATTTATGCCACCCACCGTTGTTTAAGGGCATGATTCCGACAACTTTGTCGCTGTGAAGCTGCAGCAAAGTCCATAAATATTCCACAGAGAGAGCCTCTAGAAGGGGATTCTTTTGCTTCTGCATGAAAATGGAAATTGTTTTGGTGAAATTTTCTATTAAAAATGAAAATAGGTTTGGCATAGAATAGATTGTTAGCACCTCTAACCATTACACTTAACAGGGCATTAGTTTATGATAAACAAAAATGAGTTGTAATAAAAGGATCTGTACCACAAGCATCCACAACTTTTATAGTTTTCATCTTTAATTTGAGATATTTATTCAATAAATAAGTATTTATTTAGCACTATACTAGTAGCTCTGCAAGAAAAAAGGGAAATACAAATCAGTCCCTACTGGAGTTTACAACCTAATTGAGGAATCAAATCACATATATTTTAAATAACTAGAATATAAAAAAGAGCAAAATAATGTAGAAAATACCATACATGCTGAAATGGCTGATATTTTTTACAACTCTCACAATGCCTCAATAAATGATTAACTAGGGTCTAGGCACCCAGAAATTTCAGTGTTTAATACATGTTCATATTAATTAATTTATTATTTATTTTATTTATTATTTATTTATTAGGCTACTTTCACACTGACCTAGTTTAAATAACAATGTGTTTCATAGTATATAATTAGCTTTGAAAGCAAAGGAAAAGAAATAATTCCTCCAACAGAGCTTCTTAGGTGTTAAACATGTAATTCAGTAATTCAGACTACTGATACTATATGGTACCAAACTTAAATATAGTAAACCAGTACTGAAAAATAAAATGTTATGGTACTTAATTGTCTGCTTTGAAACTATGGTACTTACAGAAAAATACACAACATTTCTCAGCAATTTAGAGGTATGATAAGGAAGTTTTACAATGCAGTCATTGGAATTTGGTTTGCTGATGACATGGTGCCTTCTGGAGGTCATTGAATTTGGATGTTTCCAGGCAACAAAAAGCATGTTGAACAAATTGTTAGGGCCAGCAGAAGTCAATGAATATTAGACAGCAATATCTCCAATAAAAGCATCCTTTGCTTAACAGAAATCCATTAACAATATTCCAAAATTAAGGAACTGATTATTTCACAAATTCTCTCAATAATACGGCATATGCCAATTTAACTACATCTGTGGGCTTCTTCCCACACCTATTCTGTTCCTGCTATTGCTGCTACAGGACACTATCTTGCCGTACCATATGTGCTATGGCTAAATTCTTGTGGAACGAAGAGTCTAACAATGAGCAACACTTCAAGAGACTCAACACTATCCACCATCAGCCATCAGCTAAGTCCCTGAATGCGGTCTGTTTATGTGCTGATCACTGTTCGGTGTCAGCTGCTAGACGACTATGTACAAGTGAAATGCTGTATGTAAAGCACTTTGCAAAACATAAAATATGACATAAATGTCAGTTATTATCATTACTAGTATTAATACATAAATTGTGTATGAACCTACTTGGCTTGTGAAATTGAAATATTCTATCAAAATTTGTTCTAAAGAAAATCTCTAAGTGAATCATGGTTTATACAGCAGTTGACTCATAACTAGCCAACACCAAAGCCTGAATCCAGAGCCTCAGCTATTAAGTAAGGGATTTGACATTTGTAATCTTAACTTCATGTGTTTATCTTCTTTAAGCAAAGATATGCTAACAAAACATACAGGCACAACCAAATAGAAATATGGGGAAAGAGGCCAGTAAGTTCAAGTGATAGATAAAAAACTATACATATATATATATGTATATGTACACACACATACATATATATGTGTATATATACACATGCACATTATACATACATATAGACACACACATATATATGTATATATACACATCTTTCAGTCAAGTTAAAATTTTAAAAGTTTATACTTTGTGAATAACTGAGGTAAATTCACAAAACTTAAGAGATTACTACTCTGTATACCTCTTTTATACTTCCTATATGATAGAAAAATACATAAGGTAGGGTTCAAACAGACAATTATATTGCCAGAATTCCTGGTATTCTAGTACCCTTTCACTTTCTATAATTTTATCCTACAACTGCTTGGAGTGTAATTCTAAAATTTTGAGTCTACGGCTATAATTTTTCCTAATGAAAATCAGTGGGGAAATAGGCTTCATTTAGAAATCTCTTTTTAACAGACTTAGTTGAAATATGTCTAACTCCATAAATCAGGCCATTCCTAGCTATGTTAGATAACCTTGCTCCCCGGCTCCCCCAGAACATTTCTGAATCCTGTGTGCCATTATAGTCATTTAAGTTCCTGGCTGCCTCAATAAGAGTCAATAAGGAGACTGAGTAAGAGGCAATTCAAAGTAAGGGCCCAGTCATATCAAACTAGCAACAATAAAAATTTGATATCAACTGTAAGGAAGCACTACACTAGTTTCTCATACAAAAAAGGATGAAATATGATCTAACATAATTGCCCTGTAATTCTTGGCTTCTGACTCCCAAGTGCTCTTTATTAACCTGAACTCAGCTTCATTTCTAATAATCAATTTACAGAGAACCTAGTAAATGTTCAATTATGCTAGACAGTGAATCATCATGAATCCATAAAAATCACTTTCACCAATAAGAAATTGATTTTGAGACGTGAATTGAGTATATGTATTGTTACCCAAATAGTTTAAAATAATAAAAAAAAATCATTTGCATTTACTTGTGTACCTGTTCTTGGTTCTTTTTCAAGATCTGTTTGAAACTGCTTTTGAATTCTCTTTGAAGGTAATATACCAATTCTTTCATTTTCTGCATTAATGGCTCTTTGGATTTCTTGAATCTCCATCTTCCTGGCTAGAGGAATTTCTTCATCCCTTTTCTTTATCTGTTCTTCAGCACCACCATTGTCATCATCATTATCATCATCATCATCATCATCATCATTGCCATCACCATCACCATCACCATTATCAAAATCATCTTCATAGTCCTTCAAAAAAAATAAGGATTTTACTGATTGTTTTAATGTTAACCCTAATTAAAGTTCAAGCAATTTCAGAGATTATTTTTAAAATTCAGGAATATTTCAATTCAAATGACAGAATCACTAAGGAACAACTTCATTATGTTACTAACTTTGAAATTAAATAATGAGATTTGCTGGAAACTCCTCAAAAGTTACACTGTTTTAAATATTTGTGGGTATTTTAACACGAAAAAAAGACCTAACTATTGTGGATTTGCTTTTAATAGGATTTCCCCACATGAAGACTGTAGTTTTTAAATGATTTAGAAATCTAAATTTTGGACCAAAAACAATCTATAAAAACAGAAAATATATACTTCAGTTTAGCACTATATTTTCATAAACTCTCTATATTTTGTTATATTTTGAATTATGCTAGGAACATTATATCATACACATATTGAAAGTATCCTGGTGTCATAGAAATTAACTACCCAATGTTGCCAGATTCTTAGGTATCATGAAGAGAACATGCAAATGCACATAAATATTTTTCGACAGAGTATAACTGAAAATAATACAAATTTTATAATCTTTAGATTATTTTACATTATTAGGTTTAGTTTAAAATATGGTAGGGTATTCACACTCAAAAATGTATCCAAATGGTTCAAATATAGAATACTAATGGTAATAATAAGAAATGTAATGCAAGTAGGAAATTGCTATAATAAATTTACTGCTAAGAATAAAAAATTCAGGCTAAGAAAAAAGTCTAGTTTTTATGAGTACTTCAAAATCATCTTCATAATTGGCAGTGTAGTCATCAGCACCATCATTTTCTAAATCAATGTCTTCCTTTTCAACATCCTAAAAAGGTAAAAACAAAACACAGAATAAACCAAAGTGGGTAAAGCTGTTGACCTCACTTGAACCTACTGAATGGGTTAAATTAACTTTAGTATTTATTCACTTTGACTAGAGAATATTTTTTCAATAATTTTATAAATCAAAATCCAGGTAAGAGGAAAAATACTCAAAATATCTATGAATTAATACTACTGTTCTATCAATATAAACAAGAAAAGTATAACATTTTTAAAATGTGCTTTTACTTTACATCATATTTTTTCCTAGCACCATAACTAATGTTAATGTTCCTCTGTGGCTTTTTGGTGGCTTCCAAATTCCTGGCAGGTTCTCCCTATGTTGCTCATGCATACTCTCCTCACAAGAAAATACCCCATTTTATACTATTAATTGGTACTCTGAAGGAAAAAAAGATTGATGAACTGAGATAAATTTCAGCCCCCAACCTTGACTGAATTTTTACAGATTCTGAGTTACTGGAATATGAATTAAGAGGTTTTATGGGTCAAAGAGTTTATTCTTGTCCTGCTCTTAATGTAGCTGGCTGTTAGGAATAAATATAACATTCTTTTATGTTCCTTTTTTCTCAAGTTTGCTGAAATAAGAATTTCATATATAGACTTTTTCTCACTAAGATCAAGAACAAACGAGTAAAATCAAATTGTTGTTTGTCCTTCATTTTTGAAGAGGATCAATGAGATCATAAGTGATGTCTTGACTTGCGTATGAATTGGATTTAAGTGAGGAAGAGTTGCACAAAGCTGTCTTTCTTCCACAGTCATCAAAGTCCAGTGGCAAGACAAAAGTCAAGATGACTAGCGATGGCCCAGTATGCAATGGATGACCTTCCCCATCTTCAATGCCTGACTGAGCACTAAGCACTCCACAGCACGTGCTTCTTCCACCTTCCTGGCCGTTGGAACAAACTGTTCCCAACTACCCATTCTGCCAGGGGTTATCTTCACACATTTGCCGTACATATCCTCTAACTCACCGACGGGCATGAGGCCTGTAGATTACTCTCAACCTGACATAGCTCATCTGCCAAGACAATTTCACTGAGTTCAAGTGAAGTTGCTGCACAAGCTTCTTGGAGCCACAGGTGAGAGGTGGGTCACAGGTGAACACCAAAGGTGGATGAGCAGCCCTGAAGTACATGGGGTATTCAGAAAGGACTAGCACGTGTCAGATGCCATGCTAAAGATTCTCAAAAGGAAAAATGCAAAATGTTCACAACTGCATGAAAGAATACTCCAAATCACTAATGATAAGAGAAATCAGTAGGATAAGGATCATCCTACTGATTCTAAAAACTGAAGGGAAAGCCACCAGGTATTCCTTATAGAGAGAAACAGCCCCTAAAGCCAAACCAAAGGAAAAGGAAGGAGATGTAGACTATTTTATCTTTGGTTTGGCTGATCCGTGTTGGGCCTCAAGAATGATTTTATATGGAACCAACCTTATTTGACAGAGCCTAGGACCTGAAAGCCAGAAAAAACTTACTCCAGATCTCACATAGGCATAATGTGTTAAGTTCTGGGTTCCACATTTTTGGAAGAATATCACAAGCTGGAGTGCACTGAGGGTAACTGACAGGCCTCAAACCTGTCGGTGAGTTAGGAAATGTCTATTCCAAGCATGTGAAGATGTCCCCTAGTGAAATGGTAGGTAGGATGAGAACAATTTTTTTCCAAAGGCCAAGAAGATGGCTGAAATAGGCACTATGGAGTGCTAAGAGCTTGGTCAGACATTGAAGACACCAAGGTCATTCACTGCATCGTGGGCCATCACCAGTTGACTTGACTTTTGTCCTGCCACTAGACTTCAATGACTCTGGAGGAATGAGGCTGAAGACATTGCGCAGCTCTGCCTCACTTAAATCTACTTGATTTGCCGGTTAAGACATAACCCTTGTGATATCATTGATCTTCAAGAACGAAGGAAGAACAACAATAACGAGGTATATAAAAATAAGTTAACCTTTCTGAGTCTCAGTTTTCTCATCTGTTAGAGTATATGATACCAGTAATACCTCTCTCCCAGGAATGCTATAAGAGTCAAGGAAGACTCTGCATGGAAAGCACAGGTAAACATTAAAGAACTATAGAAACTATTATTGTCATTATTATCATCATTATGTAAAAGGTGCATTTTCTTCCTTACATCAGTTTCCTCACTTGATTGCCTTCGGGCGGATTTCCATATTGACATTCCTTCTTCACCAGTTTGCTAAAAGACACATAAACAAAAATTGCAAATAAAGGAAAAAGTCTAAAAAGTAAGCTTTAATGTTACCTATCATACAGGCTCTCAATTACAAATATAACTAGTAGATATCACCTTTTTCTACAAGAAAGTCTCTAGGAAAGCCACTATCTAAAACTATTCAATACTGTTTGAAACTGAATAATAATACCCATGATTGTAGAGGATGAAAAGAATTTTTTGGGGTGAACGGTGAAATGTCCTACAAATAAGCTCTGCCTTCATTTTCAGAAATCATGCTGATACATTTTGACACGGAGAGGTCACAGTAAAGTCTTAGTTGTACTGATATTCAAGAAACACTAACTACAGTCCTGCACATGTAGTGAATATGAAAGACTCAGGTATTTACAGGGTACGCATTAATCATACCTATAAATTTTCAGGTCACAAAAGCACCATAAATTTTGCCTTCTGGTCTTGTTAATCTGATATCCTGAAAGACTTAATGGATGAGCAATTCCCAGGAAGTGGTATTCTCTCCCATCCTATCTCTATGTTATCAGACAGACAATATGTTTGCTCATTTTGCTTAAATGCACTTTTTTGCCTTAAGAAGTTCTATGGATACTGCATGCCATCTTGGGGAGGCAGAAGGGGAGGGAGGTGGAGAAAATTTAAAACTCAAAAGTTTATAGAAATGAATGTTGAAAACTAAAACTAAATAAATTAATTGAAAAATTGAAAAAAAGGAGTTCTATGGTGAGGTGACAACTTGAGGGTGGAGGAAGAGATGGTACTGACATGTGACAGTGATCTATATTTTTAAAACAATAAAACATCTTTAAAGGCAAAGGCATGCGTGGACTTTTCTTCCTTCTTGAGAGTGAGTATGCACATAGTTTTTTAGCTCCTCTGAAACATTAGTAATGCTTTACAGAGATTGACTCACTAACCCACTGAATATTTTGTGACTTAGGCAAGTCATAAATATCATGATTCTATTTGAAAAAGCAAGAGAAAAAAATAATTTTCACTAGCTCACATTTAAAGATCTCTTAATGTTCTTGTTATGGAAAAATACATTATATTCTCCTCCCCTTAAAAGTTTTAGACTGATTATTTCATTTACAATCAAATCCCGTTACATTAAAATTACATTACAGAAAAAAAATCCATATAACTTGAATCCTAGAAACTGAAATATTAAGTCAATGAAAAATTGGGGAATAGAGACAAGTGACTAAGATTTGATAAAAAAGGAACTAAACAAGAAGGAAAATAAACACCTATAAACACTAGTGAGTCTATAAAAAACATTTTCTACCAATTAGAGGTGCAAATATTTCCTTGGGCAAGTTAAAACTACCTATCATTCACAATTTACTTGAATTACTTTAATCAAAGAATCATATTGACTAAAACTTCCCCCAATAAGTAGTAACATAAGAGGTTTAATGAAATAAATAGGACAGGAAAGAGAAGTAATTTTGGATAATGGGGCACTCAAAGGAAGGCAAGTATACAGGAAAGACAGAGTTAGGGACATTAATGAGACAGCTAGATGATAGTATGGGAGCCAAAAGGAGGGAAAAGAGTTTTAAAAAAAAGAAGGCATCAAAAATAAATTTTAAGATTTTGCCTAGGAATGGTCCATCCACATACCAATTAAAATCATCTAGGGTAAGACAAACTGAAACTGGCCATATTATAAAAAACACGACTCAGCAGAATATAAATACCTGAAACTAGAGATCCAATTGTCTAAGTTAAAGGTGATAATTTTTCAAGTAAAGTAGAATATACTAGAGAAGACTTATAATGACCAAACAACTGGTCAGTAAACATTTATTAAGCACCTACCATTCTGTCTTCTTTCAAATGTACTGTCTATGCGTCAATAAGAGGAAAGGTTTTTTAAATCAATAAACAATAATGTTATTAACACTATCTTTTAAATGATTAAGATTTTGCCTAAGAATGATCTGTCCACATACTAAATTTAAATCTTCTAGGGTGTCAAACAAGCTAAAAATGGCCATGTTAAAAGAAACATTACAGCATAACAGAAACACCTGAAACTGGGGGTTAAATTGTCTAAATTAAAGATGAAAATTTTTGCAGAGTAGAGTATTCCCTCTAAATTTAAAGTATTAATTTCTCACTCTTTTCATCATACTATGACCACATAGTAAAAGATAAATTGCTTTAATTATGTGCATGTGAATTAATGTGCCCTATTTCTTATTCAATCATGACACTCTGTTAGGCTACAAATATTTAGTTTATACACTCCTCATTTTATTTATAAAATGTATGTGACCTAGTAATTCCCAAAGCAAATTGCTTTACCTTTCTTCTTGTGTCTTTGTTGTCTTTTCCACCATTCTTTCCTGAATTCTGTATATGCCTAGAAACCAAACATTACAAAATATCAGACATATATAGTGTTTTTCACATGACAGAAAGGATAACTATCTTTATAGGCAAAATATTAATAAGGTTTCTCCAAACTTAAAAAAGTATAAACCTGTCATTTTAAGTATTTATGGTTGAGTCTGTCCTCTACCTTTGGGAGACTTTTTATCAAATCCCTGAACTCTCTTATGACATATTCCATCCCAATTTAGATGTAAAGTGAGACATATCTCTACAAATCAATATGAGTTCCCCTTTAAAATTAACCCTATTTCTTCAGTTGTGTATTTCTAAATGGCTAATTACTTAGCTGGCAAAAAAAATAAAGGCTATCAACATTTTGACATTTAATGTTTGTGTTTAAAAATTTTTTAAAAAATTAGGGCTTTATAAAAAGCACACAATTCTGAGCAAAATCTTTCTTATATCTTTTAATGATCTTAAGCAAGAGTTCTTAACCTTTTTTGTGATGGACCCCTTTGGCAGACTGATGAAACCTATGGATTCCTCCTTAGAATAATGTTTCTTTTTTAATTCATAATTGAAGGAAATACTAAATTTCAGCTAGAAGTAAGTGAAAATAAAGATGAAATTATTTTTTCATCTAAGTTCACAGATAAACTGGTGGCAGCCTATGGACCATAAGTCAAGAAATCCTGCTCTAAAGCAAGAGTCAGAAAATTTTCAGAAGTGAGAGGGCCAAGTTGCTAACCTCAATTCTTCTTCACAAAGGGAAGGAGGATACTGATACTAGCAAGTGCCTTTGATTTAAAAATTCTGCTCACTCCACCAATATTTAGATTCATTTACTTTTAAGAATTATTTTTTTAATTATAAGAATTCCACAAAACAGTCAAGCCCATAATTCATTCACAAGTTACTATAAATTAATTTTATCAATAAGATCTCAACAAATAGCAAACCATCTTAAGGTCATCTTTTGATTTTGGGAGGAAAAACGCTAGTGCCCTTTGGTGGAGTAAATGGGAAGGGGATGTAAGAAAGGAGTACAAAAGCCCTAGCTTGCTTCTAGTCAGGAGCAAGAGAGAATGGGCCCTGGGAATTGGAATATAAAGTTAAAAAAAAAAAAGAGGAGGTATCAAGACAACAAAGATAAACTTTAAATTTGCAAATATGCCTAGAACCTATATTAACAAAACAAATAAAGGACCTAAATGCATTCTGGCCAAATTTTAAAGGGAAAGTCAAATGTCTTTATTCACACATTCAAATGAAAAAACTTTTTATAATGACCACATTTTTATACTCCTATCTACAGGGAGCATAATTAATTATCTCATGCTTGTGAAAAAGGAAATAAATACCTCATTTACAAGTGCTGTAACTTTTTCAGGTTATTGGAGTACACTAGATAGTAAATCAATCACCTTTTCCAGCACATATTTTTTTTGGGGGGGGGGGGTTAGGCAATTGGGGTCAAGTGACTTGCCCAAGGTCACACAGCTAGTAAGTGTCAAGTGTCTGAGGCCTGATTTGAATTCAGGTCCTCCCAACTCCAAGGCCAGAGTTCTATCCACTGCGCAACCTAGCTGCTCCTCTAGCACATTACTAATATTCCCAAGTTGGTTATACTTCCAAAAAGTATGCAGGGGGTACCTCATCACGGACAAACCCCAAATAATAGACCTACATAAAATATAAAACAAAGGTAGTATTTTCTATTTTCAATTACTCCCTAAAGGTTTCCTCTAGATACCAAACTCTCCCACTGCATTTAAAATAAGATTTTAATTACAATAATCACACACCACTTTTCAGGAAGACAATTATTACACACAATGAGTCCCCTTCAGGGAAGTGACTGAACTGTCTCCCTTTTGTATTTACATCCCCAGCACTTGGCACAGTTCTTGGCACATAGTCCAAGTGTTTAACAAATGCTTTTTCATTCATTCATTCATTCACCTATAATTTACTCTAATTAAAATTAGAGCCAACACATAGAGTTTGTAAGCAAACTCTAAAAGAACTATGAGATACATATCTGGAATCAAATTATACATCTTCCTTACTGGCTGCCAGATATATTTTCTCTTTTGAAATTTGCTCCTCCATTTCTGTGTTCACTAGTCTGTGAAACAAAGTAATAATGAATTTTATTATGTTTCTTAATTATCATTAGGAAAACATCAACCATAAAACAGATACGAATTCAAATTTTAAAACAGTACCTAGAGGGCAAGGGGAGAGAGATATACTGGGAAATGGAGTTATGTAAAAATAAAAGTTATCAATAAAAATCAATATTTAAAAAAAAAACACAATACTGCTATAAAAAATATGTGAACTGAAGTTCCAACTGGTCCTAAAATAATCTATTTTATGATCCAGTAACCTCTGAAATAAAGTAGTGTACCATGCCTGACAGATGAATAAAGGAATGCTAACAATTATTATTTTTTCAGATCCAAGAATGTATAATATTTTTATATATTAAATATATATTTTACACATTAAAAAATTTTTTAAAAAATATAACAAATTACTAGGTATTAAAAGGTTTGACAAATATCCTTATTGAAAAATTGCTTATAATTACATGATTTTATATATTTCACTTTTAACTTTTCAGGATGATCCAAAAATTTCTATTATTGATATATTAATGCCCTTTACATAGAGAAATTTGGCAGACACTTTCCTTTTTCTATTCTGAGGAAATAATTACACTGGGAAACTCACTTAGTCTGGGTCACACAGCCAATATTTGTACATCAAGAGACTTAAACTCTGTTTAAGTCAATTGTCCCAACTCCAAAAGCCCCCTTTCATCTACTAAGCTACTCTGAACATGTCCTATAAAGAGACAAGTTAGCAGGCATCCCAGATGAAAACAAGGAATATGCATTGAGGCCAAGTGGGAGATAAGGTTGGATAGATATAGTGGGGCCAGATTTGGGAGTCAAGTTGATAAGTTTGGGCTTCATATAATAACAGGTTTTTGAGGAGAAGAGTGAAGGATGAAAAATCTTCTTTAGGGAAGACTGGTTTGGTAGTGGTGGAGAGAATAAATTGAAAGGATGGATAGGAGTCAGAAACACTAGCTATGAGGCAGTTATAACATTCCATATTTGAGGTAATAAGGGTCTAGATTAGGGTAGAATAGAAAAGAAGGTACTAACTGAAAAAAGACACTTCAAAGTAAAAATGACAGGACAGGATGACTGGATATGGGAAATAAAAGAAGGGAATGAGTCTAAGTGACTCCAAGATTTCAATCTCAGGGTACCTAGGATCATCAGCTTAAATCACTATACCTGAAATCATTTGAAGAGATAAGTTCTCCAAGAGAGGAAGTATATGGAAACAATAAAGAGTTGAGAAAAAGACTTCTGACCACATAATCCATGTAAGGTAACAGGAGAAGGAAGGGAAATCAGGAAGGGAAAGAAACAAGTACCTAGAAGTAGAACCTGTAGAGTAGGTTCTTATAGAAGGGGGGGGGGGGGGGGAGGGACAATTCAAGTGGAACAGGTGGTCAAGAAGGTCAAATGAAGCAGTCAGGCCTAAGGGAATCAAGGCAGAGAAAGGTTCTTGGCTTGCGTCAGTACCTTTCAGAAAACAGTAAAGATAAGAGTCGTGGGAAAGAAAGCCAGATTCCAAGGCATTCAGGAAAGAGTGGGTAGTGAGGTACACAGCAGAGGAAAACAGAGCTGGAAGCATTAGAGGGAGAGGAGGAGGGTAGTTCTGGATCCCTAGAGGGCAGCCTGAAGGCACTGGGCACCTGAGAAGCAGGGGGAGAGGGGGTAGTGCTGGGAACAGGAGGAAGATACTAAAAGGGAAGCAGATCCCCAAAGACAAACTCTATCCGAGACAAAAGATAAAGGGCAGTCAATCGTGACGTTTTTCAGTGAAAGGAAGGAAAGAAATAGGAGCAGAGCTAATGTAGACAACAGTTTCAAGTGAGATATTTTCAAGATGACATTCTTAACATGATTTTCTATCCATCTATATGCTATGATTTTAATTCATAAAGCTTAGTTTAATAACTCGGCTTCTAAAATTAGCATGATAATAGGGAAAGCAGGTGACTAAGTGCTAGTAAGAACTTGGGCTTCACCAGTCTTGCTCTGTAAGCCCAAACACTTACTTTACTTTTCTGTCCTAGAAATTTATAAAATGGGGTTAAGAGCTACTCTTTCCTTCAAAATAATAAATGTGAAAATGTCTTGAATTCATGTAAAGAGAAGCAATTCATAAATCTAGATTATTGTAAGCAAGTAAACAAAATAAAAGAGCCTAGGTTTCTAATTCATTAGAGAGCCAGGCAATGAATAGATAAATTATTATTGATCTGATTTCTTTGAAATTCAATAATGAGTCTAGAATTGTATTAAGCAACCAGAGCATTTAAATCAACATATACGTGTAACATAATTAGATCCTTTACAGTCAAGAGCAATTTTATATAAAGTGTTAATAAAGCCACAACTTCTTGCTTTTTCAACATTATTTCCAGAGAATTTTTGAGCACTTCAAAGCATTTTTCATTAATGCATTCAACAAACAAATGACAGGCAATGGCTTTATTTGTCAGTACATGAAGATTTTATCATCTTTCAATATTAATCAAACAATCCTAATTTCAGTCATGTTCATCTCCAATATCCGTAGCTATAAATCTCCACATTCGCTTCACTGGAATCAAATGTGACTTGGCCACTCATACATTGGTATCCACTAGTATACACAAGCTGGAGGACTAAATGATAAAATTCAATTTTAAGTAAGAGAAAATTTTACCTTGGATTCCTTTTTCTTTCTATGCTCTTCTTTAGATGTTTTTTCTTTCTTGTCTGCGATATTTTTCAGTCTCTCATCCTCAAAAGGAACTCCATCTTTATGTCGTTTCTCTCTATGTCTTTCTTCCCCATCCTTGTCACAGGCCGTATTGCTTTTTTCTTTGGACACTTTTTCTCTCCTTTCCCTAGTGCTGTTTTTTTCTTTGTGTTTCTTCTCTTGTTCTTGTTCTTTTTGCCTCTTGTGCTTTTTTTCTCCATCTTCTTTATGCAGATAATATCTGAGAGTAAACTCTTTATTTTCACCATACTGCAATATTTAAAAATGTTAAGTTGGATAATTTCTGATTGTAAAAAACATGAAGTCCTTAACTACACAGAAGACAGAGTTTACCTGTTATGAGAAGAAAAATGGATATATTTATATGTCTACAATTACAACTGTAAATCTCTGATTTACATATATCCTTTATATATGTTTTGTTTTTTGTTTTTTTTGGCTAGGCAATGGGGTTAAGTGACTTGCCCAGGGTCACACAACTAATAAGTGTTTTGTGTCTGAGGCCAGATTTGAACTCAGGTCCTCCTGAATCCAAGGCCGGTGCTCTATCCACTGCACCACCTAGCTGCCCCCATCTTTTATATATGAATGACTAACCTTAGCTAATGGGCAGCGAGGTGGCATAGTGGCTGTCCCTGGAGTCAGGAAGACTCATCTGGCCTGAGGCACTTACTAGCTGAATGACCCTGGGCAAGTCACTTCACCCTGTCTGCCTCTGTTTCCTCATCTGCAAAATGAGCTGGAGAAGGAAATGGCAAACCACTCCCGTAGATGCCAAGAAAACCCCAAATAGGGTCACAAAGAGTCAGATATGACTGAAAAACAACTAAACTGAACTTTAGCTAGGTGGTCATGAAAACCTTCTTTCTTCATCAGGTCTACAGACTTGGGAGCAACTTATTGCTTCTCACCTTAACATAGTACAGTACAGAAGACAAGGCAAATTTTCTACCATGGTCATTCCACTGGTCCCAGAACTATTATACACTGAATTTATTAATGATAAATGTCTTCATATTTGTCAGTTGCGTTTATTACCAGCAAACGGAGAGTGAAGGGAGAGGAGGAATAGAAAGAAGGAAAGCAAAGCAAACCCTGACTTACCATCATACCTCATCCTAAGTCCATGAGAGGTTGAAAGCAGTATGCGAAGTTTCACAGAAAAGGAAAGCAGGTTACTTCTGACTAGCAATGATCAGGGAAGGTTTTTTATGTTCTACCTAATTGCCTTCTAGTTAGGTTTCCTTATAGGTTTCTTTATTTCTTTTTCTTGAGCTATTATTCAATTTTCCAAAATTAGAAGTATTTCCTTCCTAAAATAGCCTCTTGTTTGTCATCTTGCCAAGCAGGGTTTTGGGCTGAGGTCTCTGTGGTACTTCTGATTTAGAGTGAATGTTTGACCTCAGCTTCCAAGAATGTTATTTAAAATGGACCTATGCTTTCTCTGGGATGTTCACTTTAAATTCTTCAATATTTTTTTCTCATCACATTTTGTCACAGCTATCTTAGTTACTATGTGATCTACTATCGTTACATAGGTTTGACCACAGGTACATCTGTCCCTAGTTGCCTTTGTTACTCAGGAAAAAATATAAATAAAAAGGAAAAAGACAAACCAGTATATTTATTTTCTTGTAAAGACTAAGACTACTTGTCCTAACAAATAGTTTTTAGTGTTCTACTAAAAATCTCTCCATCTCACTGAAAGGAGGTATTCCCACAATCTATGGTCTATCTCATTTTTGACAATTTTCCTAATTCATTCTCTTTACCCAAAGGAACAGTTAGCTCTGTCACCCTGATACCTCAAACTCAGGAAGAGGGTGTGACATCATCAAAAGAACAGGACCAGGGAGTCACCTTGTCCCAACTGTGCCACACTAGCTGAATGACCTCGAGCAAATCATTTGATCTCCATTTATCTGAAAAATGGAAATAACAGAATTCAAAAGATTCTCTTGTCTAGGGTTTCCCCAGCCATTTCCTTTCCCCACAGCTATTATTCACCACCCTTCAGAAGCATAGCAATTACCTGTGTGCTCTCATTGATTCATTCAACAAACATCTATATGATACTATATTATAATCAACCTTCCACTGACTTGACCTAATAGATTAATCAGGTAGCTGAAGGCTAAAGACCAAAGTGTTACAACAGGTAGCTTCTCCAATATTTCTTCAAACTTTTCAGTTAAAGATTTCCATTAGTCTCTGACAGGCCTAAAAATGATACTTGCTGCTGAGTGTCTGACACTTAGCTCAGACAGTTCCCTAACTCTCTTCTTTTAATGGGTCTGCCAGTCATCAAGATTATACTTCCTTTCTAGCAATTTCATTGATGTAAGAGGAAATGTAAAAAGACCGCATAAAAATCATCAAACAAGGTCAAGCAAAATGCCTGAATTTCTCATTCACACTGTCTCTCCTGATAATGTCCTTTTTTGCGACATTTTTCTGATCACTGTGAAGCTATCACCCAAATGTCACTAGGGCAAAGGAGAAAATCCTCTACATATTTATTACTCATTATGTTCCAGGTACTAATTGTACTAATGCATAGATAATTAAGAGTTCATTCCCCCTGCAAGGAAAGATGATTACCTACCCACATATGTATCAAGAGTAATCTTCATGGAAAATATGCAACAAGAAGAGGCAGGCTTTCATGGACAATTTTCTATACCAGAACACACATTCATGAAAATACAAGATCCTCATGGCCTTGTCCTGACCTATTTACATCTTATGTTTTGAAAAGCTCAAAGAAGAATCCTTTTTAGTCATAATTATTAAAGTTCCCCCCATTTGGAACCAATGTAGAATTTAGTTCCTACTTTGTTTACCTTCTTTTCTCGGTACTTTCTTTCTCTGTCTTCATCTTTTCTTTCAGAATCATCTTTCTGTTCTCTGTCTTTATCTTTTCCTCTAATTCCTATAAAAATAAAAATTTTCTTATTTACACTCTAAACATAGAAATTCTAACACAAAAAACATGGTTCTATTAGGCTTTTGCAGTTTTTCACTATTGTATATATGTTAAAACATGGCTCCTTGGTGGCTATGGTTCACTGAATAAGGAAAGAATTGTGAATGCATGTAGGTTCTAACACTGCCTAATACTGGGGTCAAGAGCTATGCTTATACTTTTGGAAGGAAGGAAGGAGAAAGGGAGGAAGGGGAGGGAGAAAGGAAGGAGAAAAACAAAATTATTTTATTTTGAGGGAAAAAATTATTCCTTATTCTAAGGGCTTAATATTTATTATATGTTATATGTTATATCTTACCTTAGAGTGCTTATGAATTAAGAGTAAATTATATATAAAAAGTTACTGTTTAATTTAAGACTAAAAAGTTCAACCATTGCAGAGTATATTACACAAGGAAAAAAAGCAACATGGTATTTTTTCTATTTAATTGACATTTCTTATTTCCCAGATAGATGTTTCTTCCCTTTCAAATTAAAACATTATATTAAATTGACATTGAGTCTGTAAATGAATAATGAAGATCAGGAGCCTGGATTGACAATTAAAACAATGGGCACAGATTTTTACATCTTATACTATTTTCTTCTTATTTAATAAAATATGACTTGTATATTAGACTACCAACCCCTCTAAAAGCAGTAATAAACAGTATCACGAACTAAAAAAATACTACTTTTTAAAATGAAGCTGACAGTTTCTTAAGCAACATACTTTCCATCAGCATAATATAATTTTCATTTATTTACAGGGGAAGTTAAACTAATCCAGGACATAAACAAAGAACCAAACAGGCTGGCCAGTGTTTTTACAGAAATCTTTTCTCATTCTAGATCGAAGTTTGGGCTCTAGAACCTGAATAGCCAATGTGTTATATTAGTAATTTAAAATTACACTTAAGAAGATAAAGTTAGGAAGAGAAGCCAGGCTTAGAACAAGTACACAAAAAAGAAATACGAGCTAGAACAGACACAATTTTGAAAGCACTAAAGGATCGATTTCAGGCTATATCTAAGAGAAGATGATGCCAAACAAATGGAAAAATTATGTATGATATCATTACCCACCCCACCCCCTGCAAGAAAAGATGATTACCTACCCACATTATGTATCAAGAGTAATCTTCATGGAAAATATGCAACAGAAGAGTCAGGCTTTCATGGACAATTTTCTATACCAGAACACACATTCATGATCACACAAATTACCAAGAGGTATAGAAAATACAAGATCCTACAAGACCTATTGTATGTTGATTACAAAGGAACAACTGAGTCATAAGAAAAAAACGCAGGCTTAAAGGCCCCTTTCCAAGAATATGTATCCATTGAACCTGTTAAGATAATGCAAGACTCCTTTATAGACGTAATCAAAGAGACAAGTTTACTCAATAATCATCTAATTACTACCAACAAGCAAGACATAAAACAGGGAGACATAGCTTGGCAAAGATATTCACGACTGTAATGGAAAATGACTCTTGTCTCTCCCTCAAAGCCCCATTCCCACCCCACATTTAGCCAATGGTCAATTCAAATCCATCTTTCCAACATCTCTCACATCCAAACCCTCCTCAGTATCTGCTTGGACTATTGAATAAGTTCCTTATTTTAAGTCTCCCTGCCTCCAGTCTCTCCCCTCTTCACATACATGCCAAAATTATCTTCCTAAGGCACATCTCTGGAACTCAGCTATGCATAAAATAAGGAGTTGGAAGTCTCTTTCTAGCTATAAATCTGAGGTCCCATGTCTTGAGCAGAGTCCAAATAGAAGAGGGATTTCCCTACAAATCAGAGGTTCTTAATCTTTTCAGTGTCGTGGCCTCCTTGGTAATCTGGTGAAGCCTACTGACCATTTCTCTGAATAATATTTTAAACACATAAATGTATAAAATTATGAATGAAAGCAAAAGTTAGTGAAAATACATATGTAATTTTTTTCCCATCCAAGTTTATAGACTCCAGGTTAAAAACCCCTGCTATAGATGGTGATGTCCTCAAGGTATGCTTGTTTGGGAATTATATTGGGCAGACCGCATCCAGCCCCATCCTCTCAAATCCTTTTCAGTGAGACTCCTGATTACTTAAAAGAGACAGAAAAGATAGGTCTTGCAATCCATACATAGAAAAACAAATGAATGAATAATACCAATTATACCAACTACGACATGCATTTAGATAAATTAGTCCATTGAAGTAATTAAACCATATAAGGTAGGCAAGGCAAATGGATAATGAGTTGGGGTCAAAATTGATTAGAAAGAAGAAAACAGGTAGAATTTGCATTTAGGAAAATGTGCAAGGCTTTCAACAAATACAATAAAATTTATCTGAAGGAACGAAAAGTCAAGAATCTCAAGGGAAAATAGGAGAAAATGGAGAAATGAAGGCATCTTGAACCACATTACTGTGTAGTAATCATCAAAACCATTAGGTACTACTTAAAGGATACAAAATTTGATCAACAGAACAGACCAAGAAAGCAAGACCAGAAACAATAGAAAATTGTAGCCTGTTGTTCAATGACCCCAAAACACAAACCACTAATGCAAAAATAGCCAAGAAAACTAGAAAGGAATTGGGCAGAAATTAGGTTTAGAAAAATATCTTACATTATATATCATACACAAAACAAAAGCCATCTATATTAATATGACTTAAACATAAAAAATGTCACATTTAAAGATCAGAGAATGGAAGGAGATACCTTTCACAGGTATGACAAAGGATAGAGGAGATCATAAAAAGCAAATAAACAATTTCTACTACATAAAGTTTAAAAACTTTGCACAAAGAAAATAAATGGATCTAGGAAAAGAAGGAAAGTTGTCAACAGCACCAAAAATTTCCAGTATAAAAACCTGATATTAAACACTTAGCTACTTCCTTAGAGACTTGGCTGAGAAACTAACAAAAATATGTAAGATCATTATGCACTTCCCAAAAGATAAATGAATAATTTTAAGGATAGTAAACTGCTGACAATCATATGAAAAACTACTCCAAATCAAGAGAAATTCAAACTTGGACATTTTACCTCACACCCACATCAGACTGGAAAAGATGACAAATGATGAATAAGTAAATTGTGGAAGATGTAGGAAGGTAGGCACACTAAGACACTGCTGATGAAGCTGTAAGTTAATTCAATAAGTTAATTCAACTATTCTGGAAAACTATTTAGAACTAAAAAAAATTCATTAACTTATACATGCCTTTTAACTGAAAAATACTAATGCCAAAATAGAACAGGGATTTCAACCAAGATGAGGACTGAGAAGCCACTGGATGTGGCACTTAAAGAGATCACTGGTAACCCTGAGAAAGCATTTTCAATGGAGTGATATGTTCAGAAGCCAAACTACACAGGATTAAGAAGTGAGTGACAGGAGAGGAAGCAGAGGCAATGAGTGATCACAGCTTTATAAGTCTGGCAGGGAAAGAGAAGATATAGGATGACAGCTTGAGGAAATGGTAAGGTCAAGGGAAGGTTTTTAATAAGAATAGGGGAGTTCTGGGTATGTTTGGAGGCAGCAGAAAAGAGATGGTGGATAACAAGAAAAAAAATAGCTAAAAAAAAACCAGGGAGAGTGGTATATGATTGTATGGATACTACTGTGCTATAAGAAATGAAAAGCAGAATGATTTCAGAAAAACCTGGAAAGACTTACATGAACTGATGCAAAGCGAAGTGAGTAGAACCAGGAGAACATTGTACACAGTAACAGCAATACTGTACAATGATCAACTGTGAACGACTTAGCTATTCTCAGAAATACAACGATCCAAGACAATTCCAAATGACTCATGATGAAAAATGCTATTCACCTCTAGAGAAAGAACTGATGGAGTCTGAATGGAGATTGAAGCATTTTTTTCCATGGGTTTTTTGGAGGGAGGTCTGTTTTCTTTCACAGTATGACTAATATGGAAATATGTTTTGCATGATTACACATGTGTGACCTCTATCAAATTGCTTACTGCTGTAGGAAGAGGGAAGACGTGGGAAGGAGGGAGATAATTTGGAACTGAAAATTTTGAAAAACAAATGTTAAAAATTGTTTTTACATGTAACTGGGAAAAATAGAATATTATTCAAAGAAAAAATAACAAATAGTGAGGAGAAGATGATAGTGGAAGCAATTTGCTAGAGAAGATGGGAAAACAGAGGATCAAAGGCATAAGCATAAGGGAAGGAAAGAGGTACTCTTCCTCAGAGACTAGAGCAAAGGAAGAGAGCATAGAGAACAGTATAAGGTGTTTTAAGAAACAGAATGGGGAGAAAAGGAAGCTTAATGCAAATGGCTTCTATTTTTCTCAGAAAAGTATGAAACAAGGTCTTCTGCTGAGATGTTAAGGTGAAGAGTGGTGCTGCAAATTTGGAGAGTAAAGCAAAGGTTTGAAACAGTTGCTAGGGCACTGTGATAGTAAAGAGAAAAGAGAAAAGAGATTACTTTGCAGTGAGAGCCCAGGGGAGATTAGAGAATCCAAATCTGTAGGAGACTAAGTCTGCGTGGTTGCACGACTTCCTCCATCATCAGGCAAAAGTCAATGAGTAAGAAAAGGGAAGGCACATGGTGATGTTAGAGCATGAGATTTAATAGGACAAGATGCGGAGGGATTCAAACATGGAAGATACTATATATCTGAACAGGGTGATTATAAATTCAAGACTGGGGAGAAAAGAAAGTTAGAAGCCAGAGCAATGGGTAGCCTGGGAGAACAGTGACAGATTACCAACCATAATACATGCCAAAGGAGTACTACAAAGGACAATATACTGGCAATCAATGATCAGTAAAGGAAAAAAAACCTGCTACTATGACATGGCACTGAGAGTAAGGGATAATAAACAGACAGCCCAGTACTACACTGATTTCCCTTAAAATGTTAAATGATCAACATGAAAAAAAGCCTTTAGCATGTCCGGTTGATCCTCTATTTATATTTACAGAGGGAACAAAAATTGTAGATTTAGAGCTACAAGGGAATGTGGTGAGATCTTAGGACGGCTAATTCTCACAGGTGAAGAAACTGGTAGGTTGGTGACTTCCCCAAAGGTTACTCAAGGTTGTATGTGTCAGAGCTAAGAGTTAAGTCTGTATCCTCTGCCTCCAAATTTAGTTCTTTTTCCAATGTACCACACACTTCCCAACATGGACAAGAATTATACAGGATAAGAAGTTATGAACAGGCATAATCAACTTATTGATCAGCAAAAATTTATTAAGTGGTTACTTTTCTGCTAAGACAACATGAACCAGTGGAAGAAAGTCCCAATTAGAAAAGATCATGGATACATTGTAAAGTAAAGTACAGGTAGTATTGAGGAATCTAAGTTTTCAATGGAACAATGAACTTAAAAAAATTTTTTTTTCATTAAGAGGCCAACAACTAGTAAAAATTTTGAACATGTAATTTTCTGCAAAAGAACAAAAATTATTTGAAACATTCATAGAAAAAATTGATGTCTAGAATTTTCTATAAATTCTTTTTTATTTTTTAAAATTTTATGTAACATTTTACTATAAAGAAAATTATCCATTATAATATTTCTACTTCATCATATAGGAAGGCATTTAATATATTTAATTATATTTAATAATAACTTTTTATATAGCCAGTTGGTTTAGTTTTGAAAGATAGGTAAAGATATAAAAATATTTCTTTTCACTTAATCCCCCTTATTTTATAGCTAGTAATTAAACAAATAGACATTACTATAGATGGTTATAAACCTAGCTTCAGTATTATAACCTCCAACACAATGATTCACTTTCTGTTAGCAAAATTTCCTAAGATGTTTTTAAACCTGCAAAATGATATTCAAATGTTTTGTAATGATTCATTTGAATGGTTTTCCACATAAGCTCAAGCAACAACCATTTATATCCTTTGTTTTAGCCTTTGTGTTAGCACTTTTCAATACATGAAAGAGATGTATATAAGCAATAAAAAGATGACAAAGAAATCATCTGGAAATCGAAGAATTCCAAACAAGGCTTCAGGAACAAAATCCAAAGTTGATATCAGATAGAAAAAAACTCCCAACAAACAAAGTAATATCCTGATGCAGAGCATCCAAAAAAGGCCCCCAACTGAAAACATTTCCCTAAATGCATGTCTCAGTGAAGTGGGCAGATCCATCCTTCCTTTCATAATAGATCTGGGTTGTCCTGAGAATCTTTGATTACAATTATTAATATCTTGATGCTATTCTGAGACATCCTGAGTCTGATTATCTTCACCAAATACTTGTAAGAATAAGGTAAGCATTCGTCTGCACTTTGGACAACTAATGGACCCAAATCATGAACCATAATGGCAGTATAGAATAATGCAGGTACTACAAAAAAGACATCCACAGTTTATTTAATAGGAAGACAAACCTGATGTAAACAGATGGGACAGGACATGCCAGTATATAACTGTGGCTGATCAGCTGCAGGTACATACTGTTCTGTCTGAAGTTCCCGAAGCAACCCTACTACTTCTTGTTTATCAGGGTGAATGTTTTGTTTTGTATTTCTTAAAAGTGTATGTATATGTATGTGTATATATATATATATATTTATATACATGTATATATACACACACATCCATGACAATACATGTGTGTGTATGTGTACGTGTGTGTGTGTGTGTGTGTGTGTGTGTGTAATTAATGTTTGGCCATTCCAGTTCTACCACTGGGAGCAACAGCCATATGCCCACACCATTACCTTATACTTGAGGCCCCAGAGAATCCTAGCCAGGATCCCCAACCGCAAAGACCAGCAGGGGTATGGGCACAGGGACCCATCACACAACTTAGGTAAACAGTTCATTGTATGCCTGGCTCTGGGGCACTCATCTGGTATAGCCTCTAGTTATCCACCTATAAATTCTTTCAATAAAAACCTAAATGCTCATGAAAATGAAATTAAAACAAAACATTTTTAAATTTATGTAAAAAAAATTTTTCCAAAAAGCAAAACATTTTTTGCCAGAGAAATACATCTGAGATCATTTTGGTAGCTAATGATAGCAATGCCTGAGAGTTATACCATCATGGTATGAAAACTAAGGGGCAGTTTTAAAAAACTGCATCTAATTTCAGTTGACCAATTCTAAGTAATTTTGCTAAATTGAAGAGAAACAGCCAAGATGTGCCCAATAAAACAAGTCAACCTACCTGAAAAAATCTTCTTTTCTAATTTTTCCAGATCTTTATCTTGCATTTCAAATCCCTTTAAGTTGTGATGTGATATGAAAGTTTGCTTGAAATCATCTTTCTTAAATTTTCTTTCTTTATCTTTATCTTTGTCCTTCCTTCGGTGATATTTTTCCTTCTCGGCATCCTGTTCACGATGTTTCTCTTTATTTTTTTCTCTCTCTCGTTCTTTTGTTTCTTTTCTCTTTTCTTTTTGTTTATCTCTGTCTCTATCACCGTAATAACTTTTCCCAGTGTCTTTAGTTATATGACTGTCTCTTTCCCCTGTCCTTTCTTTGCTTTTCATTATCTCTCTTTCTTGATCTTTGTGTTTATACTCTTCGTATTCAAACAAGTCATTCATTTCTGAATCTTTGTGTAGTTTCTTTTCCCTATGTTTTCTTTCTTCTTTCTGAGTATCTGACTGTGATGCCTAGAATAAAGACAGAAAAAATAATACTGTCTTACACTAGAAAAACAGTCTTTACCCTTGAAAAGTCAAAATATATTTAATATTGGGTAAGAATCATTATTCTCCTTCAAAAGAGAATAACTACATCCACCTATAAACATGTCAGAATATATGCATTCATGTACAGCCTATATCAGACTGCATGTCATCTTAGGGAAGGAAGAGGGGAGGGAGGGGAAAAAATCTGGAACGCAAAATCTTATAAAAGTGAATGCTGAAAACTAAAAATAAATTAAAAGAATATACGCATTCAAATCAACTTCTGTCTAACCTCAGCAAGATGAAGGGCTAAATCAATCATTTCAGACTTCAACCATATTTTGATTCACATTGTTTCACATATAATATCATGGGTATTAAATAATCCTACCCCATAAACATTAATATTAGTATAATACAACTGACCTATCTTGCTTAATTCTCTTATAAACTCCTCTCCCCAAACCCATTTCTGCTTGCCTATCTTGCCTCTGGGCCAAAGCTTGGGCCCTCTTTTTGCTATTAGTATTAAAATTTTCCACTCCTTAACTGCAGCTTTTGGGGCTCTGTCAATGGTGGCAGCAACAGGTGTTGACACCATGACAAAAAACTGATCCCTGGTCTGGTTTTGGATATTCATCTCCCCTTTTTGTTTCATGAAATACAAACAAATGATGTTGCCCTAAGACCTGTATAAACCAAGTTACTCAGCAACTGATAGGAATCTACTAGTAGCTCCAGGAATTCTAGTTACAGAGTCTGAAGGAGAAGTCCCTGAAAGAAGTCTATTTCTATTCCCCTGCTACTGTTCAGTCATTTCAGTCCTGTCCAATTCTTCATGAGCCCATTTGGGGTTTTCTTGGCAAAGATAATGGAGTAGTTTGCCATTTCCTTCTCCAGTTCATTTTACAGATGAGGAAACTGAGGCAAAGAGGGTTAAGTGACTTGCCCTCGGTCAACAGCTAATAAGTGTCTGAGGTCAAATTTGAACTCAGGCCTTCCTGATGCCAGGCCCAGTGCTCTGTCCACTGCACCACTTCCCTATGTGATATGTCATCTTCCACTAACTCTACCCTACTCTCAAAAATACCTAATAGAAACCAGAAAGTGTCTGATATACTTTACCACTACAATAAATCTCAGGAGGTTTGCTACTCGCTATGAATTATTGAATTCTTATGAAGTACTATATGAATTACTAGCTATGAATATAGAGCAAGAACTCACCCAACAATATGGGATCTGAAAATTCCTACCATCATGACCCCTACAGCAGATGCATTCTCAGTCTCATGTTTTTTACCCTATTTCTATAACTGCGGATAGTCGTCCAAGAGAGAAATTCATTTGAACATAAAATAATATAAAGACATAAAAGCAGGTGCTGTGTCACCTAATCAAAACCCCTTTTAAAAAGATAGTACACGGGGCAATGATGTGGCGCAGTCGATAGAGCTCTGGCTTGGAATCAGGAGGACCTGAGTTCAAATCCGGTCTCAGACATTTGATGCTTACTAGCTGTGTGACCCTGGGCAAGTCACTTAACCCTAACTGCCTCACCAAAAAAAAAAAAAAAGAAAGAAAGAAAAAGAGAAAAAAAGATAGTACACTCATAATGGAATACATATTAATGGGCCAAATAAAGTTATCAGTAAAAATAATTCAGAAATTAAATGAACCTTCATTTAAATCTTTGAAACATTACCCGAAGGTATTTCTTGAGGTCCTCAGTTCTCCAAGTGTCATCTTTAGTTCTTCTCTGAAAAGAAAAATAAAGTAAAATTGTATAAAGGAATTTAGAATGAACCATTCTGACAATGCTTCAGTTTGCATATTTTCCTCCATCTCATTCATATTTTTAGAAATTAATAGTGTTGAGTCTTATTCAAAGAAGTATATGTAGGGCATATATCAGAGAGAATCCTTAAAAAATAATAAAACTTTGCTATTCTGAAGAATAATTTGAAACTATGCACAAATGGCTATAAAACTGTGAAATCCTTTGACCCAGCAATACCACTACTAGGTCTACATCCCAAAAGAGGCTAAAAAACAAAAAAAACAGAAAAGGACCTATATGTACAAAAATATTTATAGCAGCTCTTTTTGTGGTGGCAAAGAATTGGAAATTGAGGGGATGCCCATCAATAGGGGATGCCCATCAATTGGGGAATGAACAAGTTGTGGTATATGATTGTGATGGAATACTATTGTGCTATAAGAAATAACAAGCAGGAGGGTTTCAGAAAAAATCTAGAGAGACTCATATGAACTGATGCAAAGTGAAGTGAGCAGAACCAGAACATTGTACACAGTAACAGCAATATTGTATGATGATCAACTATAAATGACTTAACTATTCTCAGCCATGCAATGATACAAGATTATTCCAAAGGACTTGTGATGAAAAATGCTATCCACCTCCAGAGAAAGAACTGATATAATCTGAATGAAGATCAAAGCATGTTTTTCTAAATTTTATTTTTCTTGGTTTTTTTATTTTTGGTCTGTGTTTTCTTTTGCAATATGACTAATGGAAATGTGTCTTGCACTGACTGCATATGTATAATTTACATCAAATTGCTGGCCCTCTGAAAGAGGGGGGAGAGGAGGAAGACAGAGAATGTGGAACGCAAATATTTTTAGTAAATAGTATTATATTTTTTTCCCATTTACATGTAAAAATTGTTTTCAGGGCAGCTAGGTGGCGCAGTGGAAAGAGTACCAGCCCTGACTTCAGGAGGACTTGAGTTCAAATTTGGCCTCAGACACAACACCTACTAGCTGTGTGACCCTGGGCAAGTCACTTAACTCCATTGCCTAGCCCCCTCCCCCCCAAAAAAGGATAGTTTTCAACATTCATTTCTTATAAGATTTTGAGTTCCAAATTTTTCTCCCTCCCTCTTTTCCTCCCTCCCCAGGACAACAAGCAATCTGATATAGGCTATACATGTATATTAGTAATGTTGTGAAAGAAGAAACAAGACAAAAGGGAAAAACTGCGAAAAACAAACCAAAAAAACAACAACAACAAAAAAACAGTGAAAGTAATATGCTTTGATCTACATTCAGACTCCATAGTTCTTTCTCTGGATGTACATAGCATTTTCCATCAAAAAGTCTCTTAGAATTGTCTTCGATCATTGTACTGCTAAAAAGAACTAAGTCTATCATAGCTGATCATCGAACAATGTTGATGTTACTGTGTACAATGTTCTAGATTGCTCACTTCATTCAGCATCAGTTCATGCAAGTCTTTCCAGATTTTTCTGAAACCTGCTGGTTCATTTCTTACAGCACAATAGTATTCCATTACATTCATATACCATACTTGTTCAGCCACTCCTCAACTGATGAGCATTCCCTCAATTTCCAATTCTTGGCTACCACAAAAAGAGACACTGAATATTTTTGTACATGTGGGTCCTTTTCCTTTTTTTATTATCTCTTTGGGGTATAGACCTAGTAGTGGTATTACTGAATCAAAGAGTATGCAGTTTGATTGCCCTTCGGGCATAGTTCCAAACTGCTCTTCAGAATGGTTGGATCAGTTCACAACTCCACCAACAATTCAGTAGTGGAACACAAAATGTTTAAAAACAAGTGTTAAAAATTGTTTTTACATGTAACTGGTAAAAAATATAAAAAAAAATTTAAGTGCCTACTAAATCCAAGTCACTGAGCTCTATTAGTGTAGGAACTTGTTTGCTGCTGATTAAATATCTCACATTATGAGTATCAACAGTTAAATTGATATTTTTAGATCATAAAAAAAAGGTGAGATTCTTAATACCTTCTGCCCCCCTTTCTGCTAGTCTGCCGCCATTACTGTGAAATCAAGCATAGGACTGAGGCCAAAATGTATTTTATCTAGTTTATGTGTCACCATGGCCATTACCTAGTGGCCAAACTTCTGTTGATGTACCTTTACATCTGTAAACTGGTCTTCAAAGATAGTCTAGCATGTGAAGCATATTAAACTCTTCTAATAATAATATATGTATATATACACAAAAGACTTCTATAAGTCATATACAAGCATACTATATAAACAATTATATATTATAGTTATATAGTTATATAAACTATTATACTACAAGTATATTGTGTATATACGTGTGTGTGTGTGTGTGTGTGTGTGTGTGTAAAATGAAATGTCAGACTATAAGCTCCTTTACGGGAGGAAAGTCTTTTCTTTTGTATTTGTATCCCCAGCACCAGGCTTGGCTTATATTTCTTCATTCACTCTCCCTTCCCCCAAAATACCCAATAAAATATATTCTCCACACTGCTGCTGAAGTAATTTTTCCATCTTCCAAGTCTAACCATGTCATTCCTTTATTCAATAAACTCCAGTTATTTCCTATCTCCTCTGGAGCAAATTCAAACTCCTGTCTCTGCTACTTTCACTACCCAGCCCCAACTTGTCTTTCCAGCCTTATTGTACACTCCTCCCCTTGCACCCACTGTAATCAGTCGCAGTGACCTTTTTAACTTTTTCTTAAGTAATACTCAGTGTCCAGTTTCCTCCACACTTTCCACACTCTCTGCCCCTCATCACTGGCAATCTCATCTTCACCACTGCTTCTTAAAACCCTTAGCTTTCTTTCAAGCCTCAACTCAACAGCCACTTTCTAGAAGGAGCTTTTCCTGACCTCTTCAGTTGCTGATGCCTTCCTCAGCTGCAAGTACCAATAACTTTGGTGCATACACACATTTATATGTACATGCTTTATTTAATAAAATATAAACTTTTTGGGCAAGGACTATTTCATTCTTCTATCATGCACTTTATATTCCTAGAACTTAGCACAGTGCCTAGCACATGTAGCAGACACTTAATAAATGCTTGGGGACTAACTGGTCATGTCATTCATCTGAAAACCAACTTTATTTATACTAATGATAATTAAAATTACATAAAGCTAAAAACTTTAAAGCTTGAAAACTGCACAAACTCATAACTTTTAGAATCTTTCACCATAAAAATCATTGCAACATCTTCATTAAGGCACAAATTTTCTTTTTATGAGAGAAAAAAGCACATCATTAATAATTCCAGATAACAGTATGTTACTAATGACCCCTGGGCTGTATCCTGAAAAGTTAATGACAAACTTACAACTGAGAACCTAATGCAAGTACTCTTTAAATGAGAAGAAATGCCTGGCCCTGAGGACATTGTTGCATTTAAATTTTTTTTAATGCTGTATTTAAAATAAGCCTCCAAGCTAGAGATACAGAAATAACACAAATGTAACTGACTAAATGGGTTCCAGAAAGAGAATGACTAGGGAAACAAGAACTAAACAATATATCTTGAAGGCCATAAATTTCTATAGGGAATACCATACTCTAATCCCTAGAGTATAATCTAGAGAAAAGCAAAAGTACATGAAATCTCAATTTACATGAGAGAAATAACACAAATTATAACATCCAGAGCCATTCCTCAATAGATAAATGAGCAAAGGATATAAACAGCTTTCGAAAGAAGAGATACAAACTATAACCAACCACATGAAAACATGTCCTAAAACATAAATAGCAAGAGAAATGCAAATTAGAACTGAGGTTTCACCTCACAACACACTAACTGACTGACAAAGATAGCCAAAGATGGAAATGGTACAGTAGGTGTTGGAAAGGTTATAGGAATATAGGTACATGGATGCTTTTTTGGTAGAGCTATGAAGTGGTCCAGCTGTTCCGTATTTCCATTTGTAATTATTCAAGGAAAGTGTCTGATTCAGACCCTTGTGACAGAACAATAGCACTAATGAACACATATTTACTCCAAGGAAATCAAAGACAGAAACAAAGGTCTGATACATACCAAGATATTCATAGCAGCAGTCTGTGCAAGAGGCAGCAAGGTGGTGTAGTAAATAAAGTACTGGGCCTCAAGTCAGGAAGACCTGAGTTCAAATTCTGCCCTGGGAACTTATCAGCTGTTTGACTCTGGGCAAATCACTTAACCACTATCTTCTCAGGTTTCCTGATCTATACAACAGAGAAAACAAGAGCACCTGCCTCCCAGGGATGTTATGAGGATCAAAGAGATTATATTTGTAAAGTGTTTAGCATGATGACTGGCACAAGGTAGGCACTTAATAAATGCATGTTACCTTCCCCTTTGGTAGAAGTAAAGAATAGAAACAAAGCAGGTTCCTTTCAGCTGGGAAATGAAAAAACCATAGTATATGAATGTAATGGGATACTCTTGCATGGCAAGAAATTAAAAATATAAGGAATTTGGAAAAATGAGAGGATTTGCATGAACTTTGATGCAAAACAAAATAAGCAGAACCAGAAGAACGATCACTGCAATGAAAAAAATGAAAGACTCACTCAAAGGAAGTTAACTCATAAGTAACGGGAAAAACCAGTGAAGATTGTGGAGAAGAGATCATAAAACATCTCCTTCAAGGCAGAGAAGTGGAGAACTACTAAGACAAAATACTATTTCACTGTAATTGCAGCAGATGTTTTTGCTGAGTTCTTTTGCCACAAGGAAAATTTCAACCTGGGTGTGTATGTGTATGTCTGCATGGGGGAAATGGAGAAAACTGGGATGTCACCCCCCCACCACCACCACTGGCCCCATCCTTCTTGACCTATCTGCTGTATTTGACACTCTGGGCCTCCCTTCTCCTCCTAGATGCTCTCTCATCTCTGGACTTTCATGTCACTTCTTTTTCAAGGTTTTCTTACCTATTTGGCTGATCTTTGGCTGGCTCATTATTCCCATCAGGGGCTCTCACAGAGGCTTTTTCTCCAAGTTTCTGTCCAGTGACTATTTCTCTAACTCCCTCTAAATTCTCTTTCTCTTTAGCTCTTAAAGCCCTATACAAGTTCATATGAATTACTCTACATACATTTTTAGCTTTATATAAGCCTCTGCATTTTTTAGCCAGTATGAGTATGGAGCAGAACTCTGAAGGGAGAGTATTTTGATAAAGTGTATACTCAGTTTGAATACTGATAAGCCATTTATTTACAAGTTTAGATAGAAATGTGTCCCTTCTTATTACCATTCAATAAACCTAACAAGTGACATAGCTGAATCATTGAATGAATCAACTGATACTACAGCATGGATATAACAGGCAAACAAATAACTGAATAAATAAATGGGAAAAAATTTTTAAATTGAAATTTTATAAAGTCCTATACAACTTGTCTCCAACCTCTCTTTCTAGCCTCACTGGATATTTCCCCATCCTCCACCATGTACAACCAAACTTCTTCTTTGCTCCTGGCTCCTTACACACTATTCTCCAATATTCCTTGCTGTTACACTAGCAATCCTGCATGCCTGGTCCCTCTTCCCTTGGCATCACAGAATCTCTGTTTTCTTCAAGAAAACAAAGCACTTTTTTTTTTTTTTGGTATTACAGCACTACCTCCTACATGAAACATTTACTGATTCCCCTGAACACACACAAACACACACAAATGCTAATGTCCTCCCTCTCAAACTAACCAGCATTTATTTATTTGTGTTTGCTCGAGTTTATTCTCTTTATATCTACTGTATATGTACTTGTATCCCCTGTTACAATGTAAACTCCTTAGGGAACATGATGGATTGTTTTTTTTATTTTCTTTTTGAAAATATTTATTTTTAACATTTTTCTTTTTAAAAAATTTTTGAATTAAGGGCAAGGGGCATTCAGAATGCACGCTGTCGGAGGGTGGGGGAAGGGACGAGATGGGGAGAAAATTTGGAACTCAAAATCTTGTGGAAGTGAATGTTAAACACTAAAACTAAGTTAATTAATTAAAAAATTTTTTTGAATTCCAAATTCTCTCCCTCCAGCCCCTTCCCCACCCACCAAGAAGGCAAGCAATGTATCCATCATACATGTGAAATCACGCAAAATATATTTCCATATTAGCCATATCTCTAAAAAAAGCAAGAAAAATAAAGAGAGAAAATCATAATTCAATTTGCACTCACGACTGGTTCCCCCCCCCACCTTATTTTGTGTCCCCAGAACCTAGCACAGAGCCTTTCCAGACAGTGGCCACTTAATAAATGCTTGAAGCTTGACTGATAACGGTGTCTCAATGTTTGTTACCCAGCTGAGTGTGGATGGTCTAGCAGACAGAGTATAGGCTTGAAATCAGAAACCAGGGTTTGAATTCTGCCTCTGGCACTCTCGTGACCATTTCGTTCCTCCAAGCGTGTCTGGGGGTTACTAATACTTAGGGTACCTCCCTCCTAGGGGTGTGCACGCGCTGATTCGCGTGAAGCACTTTGCAAATCTTTAAGTGCCACCTAAATGCTTGAGGCTCTGCTCATCTCAAGAATCTGACTTCCTACAAAACACCCCGTCTTCAGGAAAACGTACAGGAAGGGGCTTTATCAAACGAGATGCAGAGGAGCCGACGACAAACCCGTCCCACCCCTTCAAAACAACAACAACTTTCTGGACCAGGAGGAAAGGCTGAGATCTGCAGCTAACGCAGAACCAGGGCTACTACCATCCTATGGCTCTGGGGCTGGCGGTGGGGGCGGGGTGGGGTGGGGGAAGGGAAGGATGATTTCCACGTAAAAAATTAGTGACTCTGTCCACATCCTTCCCCAAGTCCTCCTTTCTGCATCCAACCCACTCTTAAAGCAGCTTCTTCTAGGGGTGAAATTGCTAACACGTGAGTGGCAAAGGCCGATCCGTTTTTAACCGCTTTCGTCGGAGCAAGAGATGAAGAAGAAAGGGCAAGGCCAGGGGACCGAAGAAGAACCGTCGGACCCCAGTGGCCCTCGGAAAGAGGCCCTGAAGGACTCTCCAAAGTCGCCCCCCGACCCCCTCCCCGCACTGACCTTTCCTGCCTCCATCTTTCTCCTCAGACCCACACCCCGTTTTCTCCCCCGTCCCGGGAGGACAATGAATTCCGTGGCCTGGACCCAGAAGAGAAGAAACTCCAGGAAAGACACAGCTAGGCCTGTACTGGATGCGGCTCAGCTGCAGCCCAGGCGCCTGCGCAGAGACCACTCTGAGGGGCCTCGGGGCGCGTCCCCTTTCTCCCTAGCAACGGCCAGGCAGAAGAAGGAGACGGCAGAGCAAGCGATCGCTCTAGTTCACCGCAGTCCAACCCCTCTCGGTCGATTCTCTCTGCTCCGAGGGTTTGATGCGCTGAAGGGGCTGTGGCCTCTACGAGGTCTTTGCAGAGTTTGCAAATTCTTTGGGGGAGGGGGGGGGGGATGTAAGTCTATCTCTCTCCACTCCACCTCGTAAACACAACCCAGGCATGGGAAGTGCTGCGGGAAGGGAACTAAGCATGAACCTTTAGGGATTAGGAGGAAAAGAGGATCTGGTGCTAGTGGTAGTCAGTAATCTCCCAGCAGTCACTATTTGGATGTCAGTTTATCTTGTATGAAATTCCTTACACAATTCCCCTTTCACCTCGAAATGCCAGAAACTAGCGCTCATATTTCTGAGTCAGTAACTGCGGAGCAAGACGCAAAAAACTAACCTGTGCCCTAGTCCTGATTCTGCCACTTCGCTGCCCACGTGTGAACTTTGGGAAGTCTCTAAACCTCTTTAAATTTCGGTTTCCAATTCTTAAAGAAGGGAACTTTAAGAATAATGCTCTACCATTCACAGGTTATCGTGAAGATAAAATGAAATGGATATGTGAAAGAAAGCCTTTATCAACCTCTAAACCAGAACCAAATCTTGCAGAAATGTTTCTTCTTGATCATGACAATTTCTCCCGAGGTTCTTCATCAAAGCAAAATGATTGGAAAAGAAATGACATGCAACCAATTCACTAATAAAGCTCAGCTGCTTCTGAAATGAAAGCTGGTTTGCAATGGCTATTAAAAATACCTTTCATATTGTCAAAAATGTACTTGTTGAAATATTTCAGCTCTTTGTAGAACAAAACAAATGATCTCATAAATTCAATGTGAGCTATTCTCAATGTTTTAAATAATTAACTACTAGGGTTTATAGATTTTTAAAAAGAAAGCTAAACTACAGCTTCTAACTTTTCTAATTTTTAATGGATAATATTTAGCTACATTTCTGGAAGATTTGTTTTGAATTTATTTATATATGCACACACATATCACTTAGATGAGCTGCCTTCACTTAAATATGTTCATAAAGGGAAGAATCTAAAATCATGTCTTGGACAGTAAGAAGGATCCATTCTCTAATGATCCAAACTTAGTTTGAAAGCCAGGAGGGAGGAAAGAACTAATATGCAATGCTGGCAGCGGGTCACGGAAACCAAGGTCATGCTGTCAGAGGTGTGACAGTAGCGTCAATGACATTTTCAAGGGAAATATATAGAGAACGCTCCAATGTCCTCTCTGTATTCAGTGACCTCGACTGGATCCTCCTAAAATCGAAGGCAAGAGAGCTGTTACGGTCCTATACAAAGGGCCCTAGCCTGGAGGCTAAATGACCTGAGTTCTGGTATGCTAACTTGCTGTGTGATATTAGACAAGCTCCTTCCCCTTCTGGACTGCAGTTTCCTCATGTATAGTATCAAAAGATTAGACTACATGACTTTTGAAATCCTTTCTAACCTAATGGAAAGAAAAAAATAAAAAAAAAAAGGAGGGATGGGGGCAGAAACCTCAGATCCAGATTTAGGTTTCTCTCTTCTGTCTTCAAGACCCTGTTAGAAGATTCATAAGTGATTTCCTCAAGTTCACATAACCTAGTTAGGTACTAGTCTAGTAAATGACAGAACCAAATCAGCTACTGACTCTTAAAGGTTCAGGATTTGTTACACTACAGTTACTGCCTGTTAGAAATTTTAACTCCAATGAGCTACTAGTTCATCAGGGCTTCTTACTCCTAGTTCAACTGTACAGGAGTGCTTCAGTGGAAAGAGCCTGGATCTTAAGTTATAAGCCTTGGGTTCAAATTATAGTTCTACTAATTAATATTACCTATGGATAACCCCACCAGTAGAATCAATCAATCAATTAACAAGCACTGTTTAAGTCTCCCTCATATGCCAGGTACTGTGGACTAGGGATTCAAAGACAAAAATAAGCACTAGTTCTTGTCTTCAAGGAGTTTACATTCTATTAAGGGAAACAAAACATACATATATATACAATTGCATACCAAAAAAAAATAGAGTATCGGGGTGGGGGGAGAACCAGCAGTTGGGAAGTTCAAGAAAGACAAGATAGAAGATGGTACTTGGACTGACAACACAGAATCTTAAGGACAGTCAGTGCAGACACCAAGATCAAAGATGGAATGTTGTGTGTGAAAGCAGTAAGACAGGCAGTTTGGCTATAGGACAAAATGAAGAGAATACAGAAATAAGACTGGAAAAGTAGATTGAGGCCAGGTTGTGAAGGGCTTAAAAATTCCAAAAAGATTAGTTCATTATTTTATCCTAAAGGCAATAAAAGGCAACTAGGGAGTTGCAGCCAATATGGCAGCTAAAGGAAGTCTACCAACCTTCTACATATTTCCTCCAATAAAAACTTTGAAGTAAACACCAGAACAAATAATGATCAAAAAATCCAATGAGAAATTATAAGCGACATCTTCCACCCCAGAACTGTACAAAAATTCAATCAGAAGCCCATGAGCAATAGGAAACAACCCTTCCAGCAAGGTAAGCTCCAGGCAGCACTACCAGACACTGGACAAGGTAGAGCCAGCAAGCCTCTGAGTCCAGAAGTAGCAAAAGAGGAGATCTTCCCCTGATAAAGTCCCAGGCTGGTCAGAAAGCCCCAAGGTGGGTGATCTTGGAAGCCCCAGACAGTGGGTAGGAACCAGCACAATACCCCACTCCAGTAGCACTTAGATCAGGACAATCCAAACCCAGGGTTTCTGGGGTTCCTAACATTTTGTCCTGAGATACCAGAGAAGACTCAGAACCTCAAAGATATGAGGGAGAGAAAACCCCAAGAGGTAGAAGTCAGTCCAAGAACCCATGGAACTCAGGGCAAGACCAGGGAGGGCCAACCACCCCATTCAAGAGCAAAGCAGAGGGCAGAGACTAAATCTGGATGAAAGCCCAAACTGAAGAACCAAAAGCTAGAGAGATGAGCAAATCAAAGGAAAATGCCGCCCAACATAATATAAATATATATGCATATGTATGTATTATATACATAATATATATGACAAAACTAATTCCATAACAACTGTTAAGCAGAGACTTGAGAAAAAAAGGCATTTTCCACAAGGACTACATGAATACCTAGAAGAAATTAAGAGAGCTTAAAGAATTAAAAAGAAAAAAATAAAAAAGAGTTTAGGGAAGAATTACGAGAATAAGTAGTCATTGGAAGGAGCTGTGTGATGATACAATACTAAAATCCTAAGATGGGGAGAAAAAATATATCCCTTCTAAACCTTAATGTTTTCAAGAGGGTATTAAGGGAGTTAAATGAGAAAAATGGAGGTGCTGGACATAAACTGGTTCTGTTCTGAGGCTTTAAGAGGAAATAAGGAAAAGGGGGAATAAAAGAAGGAATACACTAATATATAACGGAGGAAGAAGGGATGGAAGCTTGCTACTTCATAATTGGGGGGCATGAGAAGAAGAGTGTGCAAACACGGAAGAAATGGTGGGGGGATCTGTGGGCATCAGATTAACCTCAATCTTACCTAAAGCAGACAAAGGAGAACTGCACACACATGTGAACGTGGTTTAGATACAAGTAAACAACATTATAAAGAAAAATAACTTGGAAAGATTTAAGAATTGTTATTAAAACAATGATCAACCATCTCTCCACAGGACTGACAATAAAACGTGTTAACCACCTCATGGCAGACAGGTAACAGTCATGATGAGCAGAAACATACATTTTTGGACACGGCCCCCCTGTAGATTTGTTTTGCTAGATAATGCTTATTTGGTGCAAGGGTTCCCTCCATTCCTTCCCTCTTGGTTAATTGGGTGGGGGGAGAAAGAAAGTGATAGAGAGCTTAAGAATAATAATGCTGGGGTAGCTGGGTGACGCAGTGGATAGAGCACCAGCCCTGGATTCAGGAGGACCCGAGTTCAAATCCAACCTCGGACACATAATACTTACTAGCTGTGTGACCCTGGGCAGGTCACTTAACCCCATTGCCTAGCAAAAAAACAAACAAACAAAAAGAATAGTGATACCAAGAAAAAAGAAAGGTGTAACATTTCTTAAATGCACATAAGGAAGTTCAGAAGATAAGCAGGACAGTTTCAAAAATAATAATACAGAATTTACAATATATGCATATATATTTTTAAAAGTAATTGGTGTGAAATGGAGATTCTTGCTTTCATATACAATCTTTTGTGTTTTATGTATATGAAAATGAATGAATAAAGCATTTATTAAGTACATACTGTGTACAAAACACTGGGCTAAGTACTGGGGAGAACAAACAGAAAAGAAAGACAGTCCCTGATCTAGAGAAGTTCATATTCTAATGCGGGACAACACATATGAAAGGTTTCATTGCAAGCCAGATGGAAAAAGTCTGCTTGGTCAGTTTCTGCTTGAAGACTCCCAGTGATAAAAAGGAATTCACTTACTCCTTAGGCAGCCCATTCTGTTTTTAAGCAGTACTAATTGTGAGGAGGTTTATCCTTATATCAAGTTTTGCGATTTCTACCCATGGCCCCAAATTCTATCTTCTGTGGCTAAACAGAAAAATTCAAATCCCTTTTCCATGGTTGACTTCAAGCACTTGAAAATGGCTATGATGACCTCTTGAATCTTCTTTTCCACTGACTAAACACCCTCAGTTCCTCTGACTGATTAAGGTACTGTGCTGTTCCCTCAAGACCCTGGTTGCTCTTCTCTGTACCTATTCCAAGTTGTAAAAGTCTTTCCTAAAATATGATGCCCAGAACCAATTAAGTGTGGTCTAGCCTGGGACTATCAGTTCCCTTGTTTTCAACATGTTTTTTGGGGGTGGGGGTAGGGGCATAGGGACCTCCCAATGAGGAAACTTCCTCTACCAATCCAGATTGGCACCATACTCTGCAATTTTGAGTCT